CATTTGGAAGGGCAGGTAGCCAAGTACATCTATGTAATCATGGTCCACATGTAGAATATGTCTTATTTAAATCAGAAAGCTCACAGGAAGTACAATCTGACAAAATGGGGCATCGCTTTATGCATTCAGAACAGATACTGACAACTAAACTAAAACATAAGTATGCATGATAGATGAAGCTAGCAGCCCTAAACGATCATGTTATCAACACGAGGGGAATGGATCTTCTTTAAAACGTCCATTACAAATCTCATTTCAGCAAGAAATAAAATCTGATTATTCTCTGATTTATCCAAAAAATAATCTACAATTTTCCGTAAAGTCTTATCTCACTTCATCCATGCTGTTAAAAAGATGAAGATAAAAGGTCGTCCTATTTGCCCAATTATACTAAGTCGGATCATATTACTGTAACAATCAATGCCGATATAGGGCACTTTCGGAAAGACATGTTACTTTACCATATTTAGAGAAAGCCACACACTGTAGGAGCTTCTATACTACTCACACTGTGCTTAGGATCACAAAAATGCACAACTTTACTTAAACGTAGATTTATAATTTGAAATTGTATACATTTAAAACTGGATGAATAATAATGCGGGAACCCCTCTTTAGGCAAACAGCCACTTTGATCTAAGCTTATGCACTTGGTACATGAGTAATCATAAAAATGGTTTTCACTGCACCAATCGACCATTTTACAAATCATTGAACGAGTCACTGACAAATAAACAACACATGTCAATAGCATGTATGGCATCCACAAGATACAATGACATACTGAAACCTAGGATCTATACTCACAATAATTTAACCCCCATAATAGTTTTCTGTTGAATCCTTGAATTCTTAGAAAAGTGTGAATAGTATAGTTCACTGAATTTGGGATGAGCAAAATGCCACCTGCAGAGTTTGGGGACACCCTGTTTCAAAAATCGATCAAGATTATTACTGATTGTTCCATAGAGAGTTTTCGTCCAATAATGTAAAGGAAATCGTTTGTCTTTGGTGTTTTCCTCAAAACGAAGATATCCCCAAAAGGTAATATCAATAAGCCATCTTACCGAGCTCTGAATGCAAAAACAAGGATCAGGGGATTCAACTAGGATGTCGGATCGGACGGTATTTGACTTTATATAAGGACCTCGCCAAGAGTGGGAATTTATTTTGCTATAGTCAAATTCATTTCTCAAGTGCTCCATTTCTCCTATTTTATTTTTTTTGTCATGTGAAAAATTGACGTGTCTTTGCTTGTGTTTGTACCGTGTTGCAACCGGTGTAGCAATATACTATCTTCTTTAGAGATCGAAAATCTGACATCCTCACCATTTGATAGAATACTCGCGATATGGTTAGGATTGTCAAATCAATTCGATGTTAAATTTTCAGCTCTTTGACGATAGTTTCATCGCCTAATGTGATGTATTATCTATGTACAACTGACTTCAGTTAATATATGGCTTAAATACTGCCGATGTGACTATAAATCTCACACACTCCCTCTCATAAGGAAACATACATTGGTGCTGATAAAATTAACTCTGCTTTGTTAGATATTCTTTGAAAATGGTTTTGTTGCTTTTCAATTATCGTTTTGATAATAGTAAACCTAAATGCAAATCGAAACAAATGTTTTCAGTATAATGTCACATATTCCCACACAAAAATAGATTTCAGTTACCACACTGTTGGTAAACATGGTTTAATATCTATTGGACAAATGACTGAAGAATTCTAACGAAAACTGTGTGTAGACATAATAGGTTATTAATGGCGTTCAGATTATCAACAGCTGTAATAGGTTTCCACATCATGAGACGTTTATCTGAAACGTTATGGCGTACACTGACAACTGGGAACGGTTCCAATATCAATCCCCAATATATATGTATCCAGCAGGTTATAATGTCCCGTGTTATTAGCATCTAGACAATGAATCGACCCTGAAATGTCTCTTCTAAAGCTCCTTTCGGCACAAAATGGGTAAATTCACTATCTCTTGGCGCACTTCGAAAATCGACTTCTTCCCTATAACGCTCCTATCGCAGGCAACAAATATACAAAGCCAACAGTTGATTAGGGACATTTCTATCAAAGAACACTGTACAGGTTTCCGTAAAATCCGATCACACTCCCTCTGTAGGATTGAATTGATTTAGATAAGAGGTCTTCTTATTTGTACTACGAGAAGCCAGATGATACCAGAGAGACAATCAATGGGGTCGTGAAACAGCGACTAAATCAAGAATGGAGACACATTAGTTTGCTATCTTTGGCAAAGAGGCACAAGTACTTAACACTAAGTGAACCCATGACATCGAAATTGAAAATGTCATTTGTGTGTGAGTGATTTAGTGTAACGCCGATTTGAGTAATATTCCAGTAATATCACGGCGGGGAACACCAGAAATTGGCTTCACACGTTGCACCCATGGGGGAATCGAACCCAGGTCTTCAGCGTGACGAGCGAACGCTTTAACCAGTAGACTAGCCAATTTGTAAATTGATAGAGATACCATTGATATGGTGTGTATGAGTTGGGACTGAATAAATAAAATTCTCATCTTCACATTTTGTTGATTCAAAAGATTGAAACGTCTTGCCTCACTTAGGCTAGTTTGCCTTGTAATGGGAGATGTGATGTCAGAGGAGTAAATTTACCTATACATCATTATTTTTAAACAAACCTTTTCTGCAGCCAAGGATGAGGTGGGGTGAGGTGAGGTGAGGTGAAATAGGGATCAACGTCCTTTTAAAGAATAGTGTCCCTAAAGAGCACTTACATGTACATGCATGTGTACTTGTATGTGTTGGTGTTGGTGTTGGAGGTGTGTGTGTGTGTGTGTGTGTGTGTGTGTGTGTGTGTGTGCGCGCGCCTGTATGTCTGTCTATCTGTCTGTTCATACTGGGCCCGACTGCTTCCGTTTTTATAATGCCAGCCATCCTGAGATACTGTGCCGTGAATAGCCAACAAGGTCTTGTTTTCCCCTTACTACACAGCGCCAGACAATTACCATCTTTTAAAGACCTTGTGCGCTGACGTAACTTGGGACCGAACCCTGACAGTAGCCTCCACAGACAAGCGTTCTACCCACTACGCCACAGGGGAGGTCTACAAACTAGGGAATCAAGGAGAATGAACCCCAATAAAATACCTCAATCCTGATACTGACAGAGAAGTATTTTGGGGGCTTTTATCACTGGAGTTTGTTCTCTGACGGGGGCGTTGGGGTAGCCCAGTGGTTAAAGCGTTGGCTCGTCACGCCGAAGACTTGGGTTCGAATCCCCATGGATACAATTTGTGAAGCCCATTTCTGGTGTCCCCGCCGTGATGTTGCTGGAATATTGCTAAAAGCGGCGTAAACCAAATTCAGTCAGTCAGTTGTTCTCTGACGTTGGTTTATGAGGGAGTGTATTCTGGGTTACTCCGCTACTGCTTTCCTTCGACTTTGTTTGTTCTGAAACCAAAGCGATTCGGAATACGACTTATTGACAATCACCATATTTACCCAAGGTTAGGAGAACGTGATACCATGTTTAATTGCGCGGCACAGGATAATGCTGACAGTGGTCCATTGAGTACCGTAATACTATGATGGTTTCTGGTTGATGAAGAATAGGCCTCGAAAACAGGATTCAATTTGGACTCGGTCTTTACTGTGTCTACAAGCATGCCTTGCGAATGGAATTGGGCTGAGTTGGAGTGTTACACGTTGTGCAATCACTGTGGCAATGTTGACACTTTGAAGCCGGGAGATGATGAAGATGGAGGCGCGCACAGTATCTCAGATTTGGGTCAATGTCCGAGGTTGTGCCACGAGGTGAAGGTATCAGGTTGGAATATGGAGAGAAAGGTTGATGGGAAAATTTAAATGGAAATGGGACGTTTTGAATTGATAATTCCGACAAACGGAAATATGCTGGATGGTATCTTAGCGATTTTTGTTGCTTAACACTGCACTTAGCAATAGTCTGGCGCTATATGAGGGCAGTCTGTAAATAATCAAGTCTGGACCAGTCAATCCAGTGATCAACAGCATGAGCATCGATGTACGCAACTGGAAACATTGATCAAGGATATTGATAGTAACTGGTCGGGGAATGTGTATGTTGTTGTCGACACAATTTGTAAACGTCCAGAAAGTAAATACATGTAAGTGATATTTTCCAAATTTGACGGAATACATTTCCGTCAGCTTGTGCAAAGGGAAGATACTTACCATATCGTCAGCTCAAAAAAATCAATGAGAGCTGTAGCCGGTTAAACTCAAAGTCAAATTAGTACACATACCCCACCACCATTTAAGGGTGTGATAATCTAGTTGTTGTACTGTCGTTCGTTGGCAGGTGTTTTTAATTTACTTTTAATTATTATAAATCTATAACTTGATTTAGTCACGATATGGCTGAAATATTGCCGATGTAACTTAAAATCTTAACTCACTCACTCACTCATCATTTAGGGACAGCCTCAGTGGCTGAGTGGGTTATATATCTGAATTTGTGTGCTGGTGATTTGATGCCACTCTGGGATGGCATCCGGATTCCGAATCCCGGATGTGACTTGACCCAAACGTACCTTCTAAGGCGCTGTGTGATCACAAATGCGTTATCTCCACTTGAAACCAGGTTACCCACTTTTGTTTAAAAAGACTATAGATGGAGGAACAATATGGTATGCGGACGAACCACTTCTTTATCGCAATAAAGAAGAACCTATACACCGAAACGGCGCTTCTACTGCACTAAACATCTTGTTCGGCCATACATAATATATTTCTTTACTGCTCCAACTTCTAAATGCCTCTCAAATAGGTGACTTCGGATTATATGCAGAATAACCGCCAAGGAACTCGACTCATGATGAGACAGACTGTCGGCGGTTAACCGCATTTGGTTAAAAACTGGATATTTTACAGGCGCTTAGATTAATTTCTCACCATTACATGGGGCGATGCAACAAATGTGACTGGCTTAGAGTGACCTACCTTCCTCAACAAACGTAAACAAATGACGAAATTGACAGAAAGTGTCGAAAATCGGGTATGGCAATGGGACCGTTTTATGTTGTGTCAATACATTTCCAAGCAGATTCGTATTGCAGTTTAGTTGAAGAGATGTTGTGTCCGTCGTTTTGGCCTAAAGCCAGTAAATCATTCACTGGTAGTGTTGCACAACCGTTCGTAAATAATTTGCTGATAAACATATAAGCAGCTGATATTATAGTGATAAGGACCATTTTCTGATGACAAGTTCATTCTACCAGTATACCCAACGTCAATACAAGACAATTTACACGAGTATTATTATTAACGTGTGTATAGCCAGAAGATAGTTATTTTAATCATGAGTGAAAACAGCCCAGTATCTCAATCGTCCAACTCCAATGCGGACAAAAAGAACGGTTGGGTTGGACCGCCGACCAAGGAATGGCTTGAAAACAGGTTGTCTAAGAGGCTATGTTACCTGCTCCGATATGGTGCTCTCAAAGAAGGACTTCATGCTGATGATCAAGGTAAGTTGAAAACGAATATGTGTAAACCCATTATATAAATATATTCTCCTGTTTCGGGCACTTAAAAACACCCGTTGTTGTCTCGATTGTTGCATGAACAATTGTAAAACATGACAGTAACTTATAGAAATATATATAAACATTTGTACAATGTCAATGTGAAGAAACCAGAGACCATATAATATTATACTATATGGTCTCTGACGAAACTAGTTAATGCCCGATTGAGCACAGCCGTCGAAAAACATTTGATGTCCGATTGTTATATACATATATATTATTATATCCTCAAGTTATGGATACGCTTAAGAAACAATTGTCCTGATCTCTACTCTCATGAAAAACAGTAAAACATCTTACTAACAACCTTAGCATAAGCCACAATCCGAGTATTGATAATGTTTATTTGGCGTAACAATCCTGAAAACATATTCAGATGATACTTATTTAACATCTAATGCTGACCTGACACCTTGTTGAAAATCATCACATAATGAGAAGCACTTTTCCACAAAACATATTGCATTACCAAAGACCTGCAGAGTGTGTCATTGAATGAGTTGAGATTTACTTCTACAATATCACAGCCAGCTTCAAGAAATATAGATTTCACTTAATACACATGTCAGCAGTCAAACCCTGCCTTTTGTGTTTTGAGCAAACACCTTAACCGCTTGGCTACCCTGCTTTCAAAACCTACAGAAACTTCATTGTAGGTAAGGGCCGGTTGGTTAGCCTAGTAACCCATGCTTGTCGTAAGAGGCGACTAACGGGATCAGGTGGTCTGACTCACTGACTTGGTTCACACACGTCATCGGTCCCCAATTTGTGTAGATCCATGCTCATACTGTTGATCACTGGATTGTCTGGTCAAGACTTGATTATTTACAGACTGCCCTCATATAGCTAGACTATTGCTAAGTGCAGTGTTAAGCAACAAAAAAACCCAATGTGTCCATCACTGAATTGTCTGGTCCAGACTTGATAATTTTTCAGACCATTGCTGTGTTGCTTGAATTCTGCTTAGTGTGTCTTTAAACAACAAAAAGCAAACCTAGAAAGTGACAAAATGGATACCGATCCATGTTATTGCATTTACAAATTACATACAGATGTTCATAATATCAATCACTGGATTGTGTGGTCATCGTGTGATGGAATATTTCTTTGAGCGGTGCTAAACAACAAAGGAAAATAGTACATCTTATGGTGTACTCCTTGCAGGGTATGTCAACATTGAGGAACTGTGTACAGCGAACCTCCTAAGGGAACACAGCCAAGAGGAGGTGTTTGAGGAAATCAAATCTTCAACATCAGGGAGGAAAACAAAACGCTTCCAGTGGAAGGAAGAACATGGAAAGATCTATGTGAGAGCACAGTACGCTCGACGATTAGAGAAGGTAGATCATGATTCTGACTCTCAAATTACATTGTCAAATTACGGATAACTGGTGTACAATATCTTCATAAAATATTCTACATAATTTTCTACAAAAAAGAAAAACTGTTAACAATGTCTTGTAGACAATAACGTTTGCAACTTTGGTGATGATGTCAATGAGAATATCTGTCACGCCTTTTTTGAATGTAATGAAACTAATTTCTTTGGAGTGAGTGAGTGAGTTTAGTTTTCCGCCGCTTTAGCAATATTCCAGCAATATCATGGCAGGGGACACCAGAAATGGGCCTCTTACAATATACCCTTGTGGGGAATCGAACCCGGATCTTTGGCATGATGAGCAAACCACTAGGCTACCCAACCGCCCCTAATTTCTTTGAAATGATCTTGAACTTAATAACCTAATAACTATCATATTTGAGTACACCGTTTGTTTTTCGTTGATTATTTGGTGTTGTTAAGGGGAGCATGATGAAGAGGGGTGGGGATGAGGACAATTGTCAAGGAGGTGGTTGCACCAGCATATAGAAGTGAGCGAGTGAGTGAGTATGGTTTTACGCTGCTTTTAGCAATGCTCCAGCAGAAAAAGGCTTCACACATTATACCCATGTGGGGAATCGAACCCGGGTCTTCGGCATGACGAGTTAACTCTTTACCCTGAGATGCCAACCTAAAAGTGTTGCAAATAGTAGTTTCAAGGATCAAAATTAGAAGTTTAACTATAAAATTAGTAGTCTACTAAATATTTAAAATCATGATGGATTCTGAGAAAGATCATATGGAGACCAGTAATGGGCTTCATACATTGTACCCATGTGGGGAATTGAACCCGGGTCAAGCAAATGCCTTATATACCAGGTTATCCCACTGCCCCAGCATCTATGAGAACTGGAGTAACTGGTAATGCAGATATGCTGACCAATGGATAGAGCATAAAACTTCACATTATTGGGTTCACCATACAATCCTTGATACTCAGTACACTTCATTATATGTTAGATAGTTAGGGTCATTTTTAAGTCACACTTGTCAGTAGGGTGATAATAATCCATTTTCTTCTCCAGAGTCCTTACCATGAAGACTGCAAGGTGCCAACCCTGTTTGAGACCTGCATACAAAGTGTCCTCACAAACATAGAAGATTACGATCTGGATGATTTCCCCGATGAATTTGTCATAAGGTGAGAACTTCAGAGTAAATAGTTATGCAATTTCCAAACTTCTCAAACTGAATTCATAACTTTTTAACGCTGTAGTTTCGTGGATAGTGTCTATCCAATGCATAGAATGGTGGGGTTCAATTCCCAGTTGTGTCTTACTTAACTACATTAAAAGGTGGTATTTGTTTTATTCCAGCCTAGCACTTGAGATTAAGGGGATTAAACAAGCCCTTGTAAGCTTGGATGCAGCATGCAGTGTATCATTTAGGTATTTGTGGTAAAACTGCATGGTAGGTCATGAGATAGGCATCAGAAAACAGATGTGTCACATTCTTTTCGATTGCTGTAGTCAATGATAAAGGAGACTGTAACAAATATACTGAACAAAATAATTTGTGGTCCTGAATATTTAGTTGATATTTTTATGTAATTGTGTGCTCAAGTTTTCACTACAAAAACTATCTCCCAAAATGCTGATCACTAACCTTTTTTTGCTCAGTGTATGTAGAATTTCTTGTTCAGGTGGAGCCCTGTTTGAACAAGTAAAAGTCATCGAGCGATGTCAAACAGACATTTTTTCTAAACCTGTTCAAAGGCTGACATCCAGCCCAGATTGAGAACAAATGTAATTTTTTTCAGATTTGTCCAGGTCTTTTGAGATTTGATTATTGATATAAAAATGCTTGTTTTTTCCAGCACAATGATCCATCGTCTGAAGCGTCAGAAGAAGCTGAACAACAAAGCCCTACAGATCCTTCTGGTGCCGACCTTGGAGCACCTGGACCTAGAGGGTCTCTACCTCACTAACAACATTCTCAAGATGGTGTGGATAAAATGTCCCAACATTAAAACCCTCAGTCTCAAGAACTGTGGATATATCATGACGGATAACCTCATGTCTCAGCTAGTCAAGGTACATAAAGTATAGTCTCATGTCTCAGCTAGTCAACGACAATAAAGTATAGTCTCATGTCTCAGCTAGTCAAGGTACAAAAAGTATAGTCTCATGTCTCAGCTAGTCAAAGTACATAAAGTATAGTCTCATGTCTCAGCTCGTCAAGGTACAAAAAGTATAGTCTCATGTCTCAGCTAGTCAAGGTACATAAAGTATAGTCTCATGTCTCAGCTAGTCAAGGTACAAAAAGTATAGTCTCATGTCTCAGCTAGACAAAGTACACAGAGTATAGTCTCATGTCTCAGCTAGTCAAAGTACATGTAGTATAGTCTCATGTCTCAGCTAGTCAAGGTACATAAAGTATAGTCTCATGTCTCAGCTAGTCAAGGTACATGTAGTATAGTCTCATGTCTCAGCTAGTCAAGGTACATGTAGTATAGTCTCATGTCTCAGCTAGTCAAGGTACATGTAGTATAGTCTCATGTCTCAGCTAGTCAAGGTACATGTAGTATAGTCTCATGTCTCAGCTAGTCAAGGTACATGTAGTATAGTCTCATGTCTCAGCTAGTCAAGGTACATGTAGTATTGTCTCATGTCTCAGCTAGGTACATGATAGATAAGTTTAACTAGTTAATGTAAATGACACAAGGTGTAGTTAAGATTCATACCAGTCCATGTAAAAAGGAACAAAAGAGTCTATGGTTGACAAGATCAGGCTAACTTGGTTGATGCCTGTCACTAACAGATCAATGCTCATGCTGTCAGTCACTGGATTGTCAGGTCCAAACTCATCAAAGCTGGAAAACTGCCTTGTTTGTCTTTAAACAACAAACGAATAAACGAGCTTTCTTGTTCACAAATATCAACTGGCACCACATTAAACACCCCCTGACCAAATTCTAAACCAATCTGTGAGTGGACTTTAGACACACTGTATTCCAATACTGAATAGGGCGTTGGGGTAGCCTAGTGGTTAAAGCGTTGGCTCGTTACACCGAAGACCCGGGTTCGAATCCCCACATGGGTACAATGTGTGAAGCCCATTTCTGGTGTCCCCCGCCGTGATATTGCTGGAATATTGCTAAAAGCGGCGTAAAACCAAACTCAGTCAGTCAGTCAATACTGAATATTTACAGGACAGTCCGTCTCTCTATTTGTCTGTTTTGCAGAAAACAGAAGTGTAGAAATTGTATACAATTGAGTTTAAACTATTATAAAAAAATATTCTAGATTCATCAATGAGAAGACATTTGTTGTACTCTTCCATACAATTGCAGAAAACCAATTAATCGTCATTAATAGGACATGTAAAAGATCCAGGTTAAAATTGGTCTTCAGAAACCCGTGCTTGTAAGAGGTGACTTGGTTGGCACGTCATTGTATCCCAATTGCCTAGATCGATGCTCATGACGTTAAGCACTGGATTGGCTGGTCAAGTCTCTTTCACTTACATATAGATGGAATATTGCAGAGTGCGACATTACACCCTACCCTACCCTACCCTACCCTACCCTGCCCTACCCTACCCTACCCCACACCACAGACCACACCACACACCACACCACACTGTTTTATATAGTTCTAATAAGCATATGCCTTTGTCCAATTTCAAGTTCCATCTGGGGAGATTATTATAGTGAGTCAAGTAGTTTATATTAAGAACCTCATGTACTAATCTGTTTTTCCAATCTGTTTCAGAAACTGCCAAACCTGACGTCACTGAATTTGGCCCAGTGTCAGCATTTAACAGACATTACACTCAGATCAATCAAAAAACACTTAAAGAACTTACGAAATATTAACATATCTATGGTGAGAAACTTCACAGAGGCATGTGTGTTAGACTTTATAATAAACCTTCCCAACCTAGAGCAGGTGGACATGTACGACGTCAGGGTATCATCGGAGGGACGCCAAACTCTGGCCGAGATTGGCAAAGACAGAACGTTGAAAATTGTTCTATGAGAATTCCACAGTAAAGAGGCAGCGAGGGGAAAATCCTTCAAAGATGTTGCCACATTTTGGACAAGTTTGGTACTGAACTCAAGTTTCAAGGACTGGTCATTTATTAATTGGGGGCTGGTCAGCAAATAAGTTTGGTATGAGGACTGCATCATATTTTTCTGAGCACCACATTTATGTAACCATTTTATATGATCCTACTGAGACATGGAACATTTATTCCTGAGTCCCTCCCTAAAATATATGACCAGTCCCAAAATATTGCTTGAGTTGGTAATTTTTTAATTTGAAAAAATAGAACTTACTTTTATCACCCAGATGTATAATTCAGGGGTGGAAATAACTTTAATATTGCTATTGTACTCCGGTACAGTGGTACATGTAAAATCACTTGCCCTGATAATTTTTCCACTATACTGGCTGATTTTCTTGTTGATTTTTTAAATAAACAACATAATTAACATTGGAAAGTCAACTTGACAGACATTGACACAGTACAGCGTGACATACAAAAACACTGGACTGGGCGTCGGGCAATGGGTTATTTTCACCCTTGTATTTGTTTGATACACTTGTTTAATGTCTTTGTGTATTTTTAACTGAACAAACAATCCAGGCATCTTTGTAGATTAAACTGTCAGTGGTAATCATGATTCGCATTGAGTGAGTGAGTGAGGTTCTATGCTGCTTTTAGTGATATTTCAGTAAAGTCACGACAGAGGAAGCCAGAAAAAGGGTTTCACACATTGTACTTAAGTGGGGAATCGAACCCAGACTTCGGTGAAACAAACACTTAAACCACTACGCCACCCAACCTCCCTTAAGACACTGACATAATTTAAGGCAGAGTGTTTGGTAGTTAGGGAAGTAAGGCTGGAAGTAAAATTATTTATGTACCGGTATTAGGGCTTATATTCATGGGTTTCCTTTCACATTGCTCAAGTCCACACATTTATGGAGCTCGATGATCTTATCATCTCTTTGAGTGCAAACGATGAAGGTGAGTGAGTGAGTTTACTTTTACGCTGCTTTTAGCAATATTGAATGATGAATGAATGATAATTGATTTGTATAGCGCCTGGTTTCCAGATTGGACATGACTGCTAAACGGCTCTTGTTGAAGTGAGCGGAAAAAAGATATGTCCAGCAGTATCACGGCTGGGGACACCAGATATGGGCTTCGTGAATTGTATCCATGTAGGGCATTGAAACTGGGTCTTCTGCATCACTGATGATGATGATGATGATGATGATGATGAACAACTCCTTTTTTATCAGGGATATATATAAATAAAAAGATATTCTATTTAAATGTCTTTGAGTCAGTATTTATTAAAACAGATGATTATTTACAGGTAAATGTGCATAATATACATGAGAGGTCACAACAGCTTGAGATGTCCAGTCACTCTGTCCACAAGTTCAGCAGGACCTGAAACAAATCATGTAAACATATCATGTAAACATTTGAATACACAATGCCATCAGAATGTGGTCAAATGTAACACATGTTATGTTTGAGACTACACTTTCTCAGTAAACAGAGGCCCAGATAAGCTGCGTATCTGGGTAAAATATGCATAGAAACTTTCCAATTACGCATTGAAAAATAATTGTTGCGTACCAATTACGCATTTAAACTGTTAGATACGTAAAGAGTTTAAAACAAATGCGTATGGAATATACATATAAAAATCGCTTGCGTAATGAAAAAGACATCAATTGCTATCAAGTTGTACTGTTAGTATAGGACAAGTGTGTACTGTCAGTATAGGATGAGTGATTTTTTATGAAATCATTTCCCTTATATTTAAGTTGGTTTTGATTAGGTATGACATAAGGCAGAACATACCTGCTTAGTAAACTTACTCAATGACACAATACTTAGGTGTGTAAAATGACTGAAATACGTACATATTTGAAAGCAGTGGGTAACGGTAAATGAAATACCCACTCAACATTCATAATACCCACTCCCAAAAAATACAGTGGGTACAGTACCCACATTAGCTAAATCTTATCTGGAGCTCTGAGTAAGTACAGATTCCAGTACTTTTGTTGGTTTGAGTCCCATCTGGGATTCGAACCCACACCCTAAGAGTTAGACACCTAATCGCCAGCAGACAAAGTCAGCCACTCATCCACTGCGGCTTACACTGAAATGGAAGTCAGACAACTGGTAGTCCAGACCACAGACTTTGTGTACCTCTCACTTTCGCTTGGTCAGATACCATAGGAAGGAAACTCGTTTGGTATAATTGGTATGTAATGAGACCTCGTGTAGTATTCTCTATGTGTCGCCCATGTGTAAGCTACATTTCCCATGTCTAAGCTATTTACAGACCGCCACCATATAGCTTGAATATTGCTGAGTGTGGCTTTAAACAACATCTGACTGACTGAGTTTAGTTTTACGCCGCTTTTAGCAATATTCCAGCAATATCACGGCGGGGGACTCCAGAAATGGGCTTCACACATTGTGCCCATGTGGGGAATCGAATCTGTGTCTTCGGCGTGACGAGCCAACGCTTTAACCACTAGGCTACCCCACTGCCCCTTTAAGCAACAAAGAAAAAAGGGTTCAAAGGTTTCTGAAACACAAGCAAGCAACTGACCTGGTCCAACTCCCAGCACTGTCCTTGACCCTGGAGCTATCTGTGTGCGCCCTACGTCCTGGATAACACTTGTTGTCAGACCAGCTGACTGAGCTGCCTTCGCCAGTGCTAACCTAAACATCACAATAATCATAAATGGCAAAAACTGATCAAATTGAAAGCAAAAGTAAATGATGCACATACACACTCAATGTAGATCTAAGATTCCTGTGACCGCCTCCGTGGTGTAGTGATTAGAGCGTCCGCCCGGAGAGCGGAAGGTCGCGGGTTCGATCCCTGACCGCGTCATACCAAAAGACGTTAAAATATGGTACTTGTTGGTCCCTGCCTGGCGCTCGGCATTAATGGGTACAACTAGGACTGGTCGGCTCGGAGTCAGTGTGTCAGTGTCTGAGTGGGGTATTCATGCTTCACTGTGGCATGGTATCTCAGTGGGCTAGCACTATAAAACCAGCTTAAATCTGGGCTAGTACAAGCAGCCGCACAAACACATACTCACGCATGTACGTCGTCATATGAGCAAAATATTCTCAAGCACGACGTTAAACCCAATTTCACCTCACCTAAGATTCCTGTATATTTAACCTTGATCATTACCTTACAGAGTATGTATCCAGTTTGTAGTAGAATTATGTATTCTGCTTGTCATGTCATTTTCATCAACACCTCAATCAAGATGGTCTAAAAATAATCTTGTCTTGGACGGAAAAATCTGTAGTGGATAGCATTGATATTCAGTAGCCAAATTTCAAGTTATCTGGTTATAACAGTACATACACAGGTCTTACTGTGAGTGAGGGAGGGAGTGAGTTGGGTTTTAAGCCACTTTTAGCAATATCATTAGCGGGGACTCCAGATTGAGTGAGTGAGATTAGTTTTACGCTGCACTCAGCAATATACCAGCTATATGGCACTGTTCTGTAAACAATTGAGCTTGGACCAGACAATCCAGTGATCAACAACATGAGCATCGGTCTGCTAATTGGGAACCGATGACATGTGTCAACCAAGTCAGCTTAGCCCGACCATGCGATCCCATTAGTGGCCTCTCACGATTAAGCATGGGATGAAGATCAATTCTAACCAGATCTTCAAGGGGTAGGGAACACCAGAAATGGGCTTCACACATTGTACCAATGTGGGGATCAAACCGAGTCTTTGGCATGACAAGTGAACGCCACCACCCCAATCACCGCCCCAGGTCATACTGTGACCACCTCTTCTGTGACCATGGATACCCAGGACTTACAAGGATGTTTCATCATCTGTCTTGACCACTACTTTGGCTGACCACTTGACCGCCACTTGTACAGATGGTCCTGGTTATTGCGAATGCCTTCTCAGCCCCTGCTACAGCTGCATGAGCACACTGAATACAGAACACAGAACACAGGGAATTCAATAAAACACTGCCGGAGACATGTGGCATTCATCTTACAGTCTGTTTAATTTCATGAGATGATGAATTGCTCACTAACACAAAATCTATTAATTGCATAAACCCAAATTTTGCACAGTCACATGCAATCGACAGACCAACTCTGATGATTTTTCTCATAATTTTGGACACCCGAATAAAAAAGTTGTTAAACAAACGATCCTTAGTTAGTTGTAACTTTTCTCTATATTTTACGAGGGGGGCACTTGCTGATAGAACAGCCCGGTAATCAACAAGCATGTGTAGTAAAAATTTCACTTTCACATGTGCAACTCACACAGCTGATTTTGTGTTAGTGAGCAATTCATAGGTCTCAAATGAAATCAAACAGACTGTAGTTCCTATCATCATGTTGGATAATCAGAATGAAGAAGTGTCAGTTTTAAACATGAAAGAGATTAGATTGTGCACATTTACCAATAAATTGCAGTTCCAGTCAATTTCACCCTGATCATTTCATTCTAAAATGAACAGGCTAAACAAATCTTGATTGAATACATACACTTTTGCACACATGAGCACCAACTCAATGTTTGTTTCTTGTTGTTTTACACCGCAAATAAAAATATTCCAGTTCAGTGACAGTGGTCTAAATTTAATCAAGCCAGGAACTCACAGTCCAGTGATTGGCATCAAGCATCCATCAACGCAATTTGGATATGATGACTAAGTCAGCGAGTCTGACTACCCTACCCTTCTGATTTATTTAGACCAACAGAATTTTACTAGAATGACACTTAGACTAGTGACTAAACTTGCAGACTGGTATTATCATGGAAGCCTGGTCAGCTGTAATTTCTATGTTAAACCTTTTGCATTTTTTCAAAAGGTTCATTTTCACCTGAGCTGCTATCTTCCCTTTGCCCATCTTGAGGTCAGTGCGGACGACGATGACCATCTTGTATTCTCCTGAGTCTGATGCCAAGAGTGGGCGGGACAACTGCAACAGAAAACACCCCATGTTCAATGTTACATCTCGTTGGAAAAACCTTTAAAGGAGCAGGGATATATGGCTTCAGCATGGCAGTTTAATACTGCCTCCTAGTTCTCATTTGCTGTTGAGATACTATTTGCGGACACAACTGAATGTGCAATGAGACTGGGTTACTGTTGGTAAGGACAGTGGGCATGAAATTTGAGACAATGTTTACATGCATAAACAATACCAAAGGGCATGTGGTAATTAATGTCTGCAACCTTATTTCATTGTAGAGAGATCTCATAACGTTATAAAGACAGACCAGATTGACTATTATTATTATTATAAAATATAACATAAATGGCCAGTATTTTTTTTTTCCAAAAACAAAACACGTCCAATCAGTCTGACAACAGAAAAACCATGATCTATGAAACTGATGAAATTGTTTCAAAAAGAATCAAATGAGTAAGCGAAGTATTATCTGTAAAAGGAGACAGTATGATCTTATCATATGGTGTCTGCTTTAACAATGCCGTATGTGAGATGAGACTAAAATCACATTGGGGACATTGACCATAAACCATTTATTATGTCACAATCTGAATAATTTGAGGATGAAATGACAACATTCATTTTCTTGACAGAAGAGGAGAGGTTTGTCAAATTGTATCAAGTGTATGGAACTCACATCATCTGTAGCATTTGCCGTCATCTTGCCTATTCGCCTGGTAAACCTTGCCTTGAACATCCATCCAACTGCAATGCCAATTCCAAGCCCCAACACGAATGTTGCTGTTTGTTTCTGATCAACTGACAACATCTTCTTTCTTCAAACTCCAATCAATCAGACCAGCTTTGAAGAGTTGGGGTGTATCATGAAATTCTGTTCTGAATAAAGTTGGTTCAAACATCCACAGATTTCACAAAGAACTACAGTCAGATCCAGCTACTAACTTACTCAAAAGCATGTCCGTACATATAAATTATTATTATTATTTGACTTGTTTATTAGCTTGTTACACGGTGCGCTAACCAACTCCAACAACAAACTCTTTCACGCGTGGAATACTGGGCTAAAGCCGGCGGATGTTGATCGCGAGCACTTCCTTTTCCTTCTCACACTGAAAATGGTTGCAAAAGTGTGCATTTTCATTGGTTGATTTTTACCGCACAACCAATCAACGATCTAGATTACCACACTGAAAACATAGAATATTGGATGTATTATTAGACGCGAGTTCAGGTACGATTTGCGGGAGAACGAAAGAAGGAAAGACGATGAACTTATACGACCATATCAAACAACTGCATCAAGCAGAGCTTTATGGCGATCTAAAACATTTGGTAATGATGTATTCAAATATCCACGCACACCAAATTAATTTGTAGTGGCAACATTTTCGGTTAAACTGTTTTCCTCACAAAGGTTTCTGTCATGAATAGCATTTTCATAAATTTTGGTCTAGACTTATTTTGGATTTTGGATTTCGTTGGGGTAACTTTTCTTTTTTCACTCTTTGATAACAGTAAGTGTTTTACAGGATCAAACACGTGCAATATTCTAGAGATTACATGTAGTATACGCCAGTGAAGGATTTCTTTATGTGTGTATGGAGTCTAGAATGTGCAATAAGTTGGGGTTTTTTTCAATGGTTAATGAAAAACGAGATTTTTGTTGCATAAAACAATAACACGATGATATAATATTTGTTCATTCAATGAGTTTATTGTTTCTTATAATTGTTTCAGTCCTCCTTTGTGTTGTCTTTGTGTGACAACAGTGCAGAGGTGGAGGTGCTGTCACTACCACAGAAATACCAGTGTCTTGTACATTTTGGAGACGCCCTATACCACACAGAAGAGTTCAAGAAAGCCGAGGTAGGCAGGCTGCCTTATCTCTCACACATGGTCTCCACACATGTATCAAAAATGGGGACAATTTACAACACAGTCCCAACACAGTTAACCGTTAAATAATAGCACCCAGCTAAAAAGACAGCTGTTCAAAATAAACTCTACCCCAGTCTAGAGTCCTTCGGGACAATGAGTGAACCACAAACCAAGCAAAGTGTTGATTGTTTTAACCAATATGCTGTACAAGGGCATCCTGTCAAAGTCATTACAATTCACTGTACAGAGTTGCTTCCCCTGGGTATACCAGAAACCTGTGTAGATTTCAATCTCCGATTTGCCCATACAATGTTTTGAGGTTTCTCAGTAGGGGTGCATATTGAGGGGAAACAGCTATTGCGATGGCGATAGTCTATTGCGACCAACTATTGCAATAATCAGTAATAAGGAGTGTCCACTGTGTTATAAAATACAGTTAACCAGCTTCTGTGGTAGACAGTTTTATGGTGTTATTTGATTGTGATGACTTGGTAACCAGTGGTGTCCCAATGATCTGAAAAGCATTGTGATACTAATGTCATTGCATTGGTGTCTCTTCAGGATGTTTGGAGGCCAGTTTTGAATAACAAACATTAGTGGTGGTCCGATTACTTGAATTAATCGAAGATTGGTCGCAGTGGCCAAACGACCAAGCAATCGATCACATTTTCTCATAATCGAACACAAACGATTTTGGAACCGCTGTTATAGAGTTTGAAATACTTGATGATGGAACATGTCTAGGTCGTTGTCAGGGCCTGAAAACGTGTTTATTTCTAAGAAAACTCACTTCACTTTCTGAAAAGTCATGACTGAATATTTCTTGAAGAATCTGGGAAGTTAATGTTACACTGGAACTGAATCATTTTACACTGGATGTGAAATCTGCAAATGTAATTTGTGCAGTTTCTAAAAACAACAACAGAGAACCAAATGTTTTTTCTTTATACTTATCTGCAACTACAACCTGAATAGGAAAATCTAAAAAATGATGCTAACCAATTTTTTTTCGATGATTGGTCGTTGGTATTGAACCAATCATCAATTGTGAGATTTCAACCAATTCCCAACACTAACAAACATGAACATGACGTTAAACATATTACAGTAACATTGTAATGAATGTTTGTTTCAGAGTATATTCAGGAAATCATTGCTCCTGAAAAAAGCCATCAACAAATCAAAAGGCAAATGTTCAGGATCAACTGTGAGTTTCACATTGTTCAGACTAACTTAAGCTAGTCAATTGAGAATTTCAATGAAACACATCTTTGTGACTAGTTCATGGTGCTATATATATATATCTTTATCATATTTCATCACATTGAAATCAAGGTTTTCTGAATAATTATCATAAAATGAAATATATTTAAAATGTCTTTATATTCAGACACCTACTTGTGTAAATAGTGATTGCATACAGCAATAGCCCCAATATATTTCATTTCCACCAGCAATGAGACATGTTTGACATTAACAAAACTATTCTTTACGAGGGTGGTGATGATTTTCATCTCGTTCAGGCAAGAAGATTGATATGTAGACATACACTTGGAATGCTGTACTTTTCAGGATGTCATATCTGAAGTTGATGTCAAGTTTAAGCTGTATCAGTGTCTGTTTCAACAAAAACAAAACACAGAAGCTCTCAATGTGGTAAGTTGTTAACTGTTCTTCATATAGTACAAAGAACCCTTGAATGTCCGGGTGTAAATAAACCTTCAGTAACCCATGCTTGTCGTTAGAGGCGACTAATGGGATCAGTTGGTCAGGCTCGCTGGCTTGGTTGAGACATGTTATCGGTTCCCAACTGCGCAGGCCGATGCTCATGCTGTTGATCACTGGACTGTCTGGTCCAGACTCGATTATTTCCAGATCGCTGCCATTTTTCTGGAATATTGATGAGTGAAGTGTAAACCTAAACTCACTCACTCACTCACATACACTCCCCATCAAAAGTTTTGACTCACTAGTGTAAATATAGCCACTTACTTCAGTCAACTGATCCAAACTAGATTTTGCATAACATTCTATACAGTTTAAGGGTACTCTTTATACATGAACTGATGTAATGTAAAACAAATTCATAATGTTGAAAAGATGATTTTCATGAGTTCAAAAACTTCACACCAAAACCCAGTGGTTCACATGCACGATATTTGCACATGCATTTCAGCAATTTGATGCATAAGGTTTGCAGTTGGTTCCCCCCAAGTTTGTGGACAAATTCATTTTTGACGTAACCACATATATATAGATAACATATAGTGAGTATCTAAGCTTTTGATAAGTAGTATAGTACAAAGTGACACACACTAACAAATACCAGATATACTACTCAAACTTTGCTAAGAATCACAAAAATTCCCAACTTTACTTAAGCATAGATTTATAATTTGAAACTGTATCCATTTTAAAACTGGATAGATAATAATATGGTAACACCTCTTTAGGCTAACAGCCACTTTAATCTAACCTTATGTACTTGATACATGAGTAACCATAAAAAATGGCTTTCATGGCACCAATTAACCATTTTGCAAATCATGGAATGAGTCATTGACAAATAAAGAACACCTGTCAATAGCAGGTATGGGATCCACAAGATGCAATGACATACTGAAACCTAGGATCGATGCTTACAATAAGCTTTGATGTTTAAACCAAATTTGACCCCACACAATAATTTTCCATGATTTGATCCTTAGCAAAGTGTGAATAGTATGTATCAGTTTATCATCTAATGGAAGGTGTTATCGGTGCAATAAAGCAATCTGATAAACTTGGTATCCAAATCTGATAACTATGCAAATTACGTCAATCCACGAACTACTTTCACAAAACTCCATACAGGCAATGCGAATCCTAAAACGTTAACATTTTATTGATGACGTCGTTGCGGGTTTACATTGTTTGTAAACAAACATGGCTGCCCCCATTCTCAAAATTGGTGTTTCTGTAAGAATTGATGACAGAGGTTCTGGACTCGTTACTTCAGTAATTGACTTTTGGAAACGAAAGTAATTCGCTCAAATTGAAGGTACGGATTATGAAGCACGACTGAAAGGCAATTGTCTAAGAAAGGTACCAACCAAGGATTTCGATCTATCGAGCACAATACAGATGACAAAGCGATTCCGTCAGGTATCAGAAACTAATATGGTGAGGTGATTACCCAGAATGAAAATAAAAACACTGCCAGGAAAATCCTGACCGATTTTGTTCTTTTTAGACAGAAAGATCTTATTTTAAGCATGAGTTATGTTTGCACTGTATTAGCGACTAGTCACAACCATATATTATGCTGCCATCATGAACGGCCTTCACCCTGGTGTACCGCTAAGTATTCTTACGCGAATGCTCGATTCTCTTCATATTAATTCACTACGATCTGCTTCTTTTTTTGATAAATTTTAAGAGTGACATTATATGATAAAGAGATTATTAACCTTGTGTGTTTCCGTATAATGAATGTTATATACACGTATTAGGAATAAAAATTAGGTATTATGCTCGCTAAAGGGTAATAATCTCTATATATAACACACCTGTTATCATGATATGTTATGTGTTGCACAATTGCAGAAGTGTTTAGTATCACAAATGCATGTTTAAGCTTGAGAGCATCAACACCAAACAGCGGACTGCCAAGATCAACCTGGCGCTGGCCAAACTGTACCTACGAGATGGAAGAGATAGATCAGCCATGACTTGTTACAAGGAGGTTGTCAGGTGAGACATTGTTGCTTCATGTGCATGTTGAATCATTGAAGGCTTATGTCATTGAGGTGTAACACGACTGCATAGCAGTTTTGAAGTGGGGACCATACATCATGGGTTCGTGCATTCAAGTCTTGGTACAGATGTCATACAGGTCACAGGGTGCAGTTTTGAAGTGGGGACCATACATCATGGGTTCGTGCATTCAAGTCTTGGTACAGATGTCATACAGGTCACAGGGTGCAGTTTTGAAGTGGGGACCATACATCATGGGTTCGTGCATCAAGTCTTGGTACAGATGTCATACAGGTCACAGGGTGCAGACATCATGAAGGTCCTGGTATGCAGACATCTTGCAGGTCATGATGTGCAAACGTGTAGGTCACAGGGTGCAGACAACATGTAGATCACAGGCTGCAGATATGTAGGTCACTGGGTTCAGACATGTAGGTCAAAGGGTGCAGATATGTAGGTCACAGGGTGCAAACATGTAATTTACAGGATGCAAACATTATGTACATCACGGGTGCAGACATGTAGGTGATGTGGTGCAGACATGTAAGTCAGGGGTGCAGACTTGTAAGTCATACTCAGACTCACAGGGTGCAGACATGTAGGTCACGGGGTGCAGACATTAGGTCACAGGTTGCAGACATGTAGTTCATGGGGTGCAGACATGTAGTTAATGGGGTGCAGACATGTAGGTCATGGGGTGCAGACATGTAGTTCACGGGGTGCAGACATGTAGTTCATGGGGTGCAGACATGTAAGTCACCGGGTGCAGACATGAAGTTCATGGGGTGCAGACATGTAGGTCATGGGGTGCAGACATGTAGTTCATGGGGTGCAGACATGTAAGTCACAGGGTGCAGACATGTAAGTCACAGGGTGCAGACATGTAGTTCACGGGGTGCAGACATGTAGTTCATGGGGTGCAGACATGTAAGTCACAGGGTGCAGACATGTAAGTCACGGGGTGCAGGCATGTAGTTCATGGGGTGCAGACATGTAGTTCATGGGGTGCAGACATGTAAGTCACAGTGTGCAGACATGTAAGTCACAGGGTGCAGACATGTAAGTCACCGGGTGCAGACATGTAGTTCATGGGGTGCAGACATGTAGTTCAATGGGGTGCAGACATGTAGTTCATGGGGTGCAGACATGTAGGTCATGGGGTGTAGACATGTAAGTCACAGTGTGCAGACATGTAAGTCACAGTGTGCAGACATGTAAGTCATGGGGTGCAGACATGTAGTTCATGGGGTGCAGACATGTAAGTCACAGGGTGCAGGCATATTGGTCACAGGGTGCAGAGATGTAGGTCATGGGGTGAAGACACACATGTACGTCACAGGGTGAAGGCATGTAGGTCACAGGTTTCTGAGATGTAGGTCATGGGATGCAGACATTTAGGTCATGGGGTGCAAACATGAAGGTCAGAAGGTGCAAACATGTAGGTCACAAGGTGCAGACATTTAGGTCACAGGGTGCAGAGATGTAGGTCAATTGGTGCCGACTTGTAGTTCATTGAGTGGAGACATCATAGGGTATTTAGGTTATGGAATTTGTAGATTACAGTTCTCATACCTGAGTGTACAGCATGCATCACAGGAGCATTCATTCAAGTGTACACAGCATGGTTGCATACAATGACAAAAAATGTATTAATTCGGGTATCAGAGACTATGTAGTCTATGCCATGTATTCTATACTTAGGCAGCATGAACATGTGATAATGCGTGCACTGCTTGTTTACCTACAGAGAGCATCCCCTGGCTCTGGAAGCAGCTGTCGGGCTGCTGACGCTGGGAATGAAAGGCGCAGATGTTGCCTCACTCATCATGAACAGTCTTCCCCACGGCACCAGCTGTGAATGGTAAGGGGCACTCGCAGTCAGTAAACCTCCACCAAGAAATGTTGTGGTTTGATTCATGTTTTGGTTATTCTGTAAACAATGAAAACAATTATTTTTACTTATCTTGACTTACTCATTTTTTTTTTTTTTTAATTAATTTTTATTCATTCTAGTGGAGCATACAGGATGGCATAAGGACATTTGACAAAATACAGTAGTAGACAAGCATCTCAATGAAGCATGCAGGGTGATATTTAAGTATCATTTGGTGAAGTAGTAGGACACGCTTTTCAGTGAAGCATACATGGTGGTATTTGAGTATCATTTGGTGTAATAGTAAAACAAGCATGACATATGCATCAACTACTAAGAGGATACAGGATGGCATAAGGACACTTGATGAAAACAGTAGTAGACAAGCATTTCAGAGAAGCGTGCAGGGTGATATTTAAGTATCATTTGGTGATGTAGTAAGACAAACTTTCAGTGAAGCATACATGGTGATATTTGAGTATCATTTAGTGAAATAGTAAAACAAGCATGACATATGCATCAAATACTAAGAGGGTATAGTCTTGAGCTAACACATATTACACTTGATTTTCATAGAAAATCATTATACAAAAATAGTGTAATGAAATATCCATTATGACCTAGTAACAATTTGATCCGCCAGAACAATGCTGTATATGCGCATGCTACACTTATATAAATAAGTATTTTAATTTGAGAATATTATTTCGGGTTCATTTCTGTAATAAGTATGGTGCAGTGAGATAACTGTGTTAGCATAGCACACAGTATAGCTAGATATAATATAATAGGAGTAGAGCTTTTTTATAGTAGTTATTAGCACTTTATAGTAGGTATTGCATCATATATTTATCCTAAGAAGGATGCTACAGTTTCAATTCCTTGGGCCATTTTCTGGAACTTTGTCATGTTGTTATTTTTTGGCTATATATCTTTCAGTTGATAGAATTGTTTTTAGTGAATTTAGAAATGTGTCCAAGGATGGTTTTCTATCATTAATACTAGATAAATATATGAATCTTTTTCCAGCAAGAATGATATTATCAATAAAAAGGTAGCCAGTGTTAATCCCCAGTAATATAGTAAATTTCGTAAATAGGATATTAATATTAACAGTGTTTTTAATATATGTACTTAAGTCTTTCCAAAAAGTCTGGACAATATCACATGAAACATACACATGTACAATGTCTTCAGATTCTTTTTTACAGAATATACAGTGATCATTATCAATTATTTTCATCTTTACTAGTTCTTTTCTTGTGTAAATAGCTTTGTGAATGAATCTGTACTGAAAATCCAAGAGTTTAATATCCTTTGTACATTTTCTATAATTTAAGAAAATAGCGTCCCAAGGTATAGCAATATTTATCACAACTTCCCATTTTCTACACACATCAGGCAATCTATCTGATTTGATCAATTTATCGTAAAATATTCTACAGCCTTTTTTAATATCGCTTCATTAATACCAAGATTTTGATTTTCTAGTTTATAGTCATTTAATGTGGCTTTCCATGTATTGGGAATACTACTTAAAACTCTATTGTAATCCAAAAAGGTACCTTTAACTTTAAATCTATTCTTAAAGTCATCAAAAGATAATAGTCCATCAGAGTTACATAAATCTTTAATCTCAGTAACACCCTTATTAAACCAACTAGAGATAAAAAGAGAAGAGTTAACAAATTGATGATTTAGCCACAACGGTTCATGAAGTATTTTCTCATAGTCATGTTGATCAATTTTAAAGATGATCTATACCTTCGTCCATGCCTGAAACACATCCTTCCAATAAAGGTTATCCACTTCATTAGATAGATCACTATTAGCTCCTAATTGAAGTAATGATATAATGGGAACATTGCACGGGTTATTACGAGGAGCTCTACCAAGGCATCTTTTCAATGCTGTTATTTTTAGTGAATCGATGAAAGAAAGGATATCTGTCATCCTAATTCCCCTCTCCCGGTGGTCCTTTTTTAATGTTACTCTTTTTATTTTATCAGGTTTCCCATTCCATAGAAAAGAGAAAAATATTTGCTCTAGGTCTTTAATAAAAGCATTTGGTGGATTAGGTAGAGCTGTGAAGATATGAACCAAGGAGGAAAGAGCTAGAGTTTTAATAACTGTAATTTTCCCGATAACAGTTAAATGTCTTCTTACGCCAATTCCTAATGTATTCAGTATTTGAGCCATTCTTTTTTGTGTTTATAACCCAGAGGTCGTTCAGCTTAGCGTTTTAATACTATTCCCAACACCTCAAAGTTACCAGAAACCAATCCAATATATATTTCCTACAGATAATATCTTTACTATTAATCATAGCCCCCAACCATATTGCTTTAGTTTTATCAACATTAATTTTCAATCCAGAGATTCTATAAAGAGAGTGTATCCTTAGCTGCCTTTAGACTATCGTCTGTGCCATCCAGGAAAAGCTGAGTGTCATCAGCATATTGGCCTAGTTTATATTCCTTACGGTTTTAGTACAACACCCTTGATATCAGAATTCTCACGGATCATAATGCCTAGAATTTCAGACAAAAAAGAAAAGATATGGTGAAAAGTGGGTCCCTTTGACGACAACCTCTCGAATTAGGGAAAAAGTCAGATAAATTGGCCATTTTGAATGACATGAAGTGGCATTACTTGTTAAGCGATATCCATTTGAGCATATAGTTGCCAAATCCGAACTTTTTCATAACAGAATAGATAGAAAGGTTTTGAAACAGTATCGAAGGCCTTTTCAAAGTCAGTTAACAGCAGTGAGCCTTAATGTTTTGTTTTCGAGTTTCAAATAATGTCATAAAGGAGTCTTATATTTTCACTAATACATCTCCCTGGAATAAAGCCAGTCTGATTTTCTTGTATTAAATAATCGAGAGTACATTTTAATCTGTTAGTAATGCAAGCACTAATCAGCTTATACCGCGAAATTCAACAGAGAATTTGGACGCCAGTTTTAGCAGTTTTCTGTCTTTTCCCTTGCTTAGGTATACAAGTTATTACCCCTGTTCATAGTTAAAGTAAGATAATTATTCTTAAACACTTCATTTATATAGCTTAAATATCCATTTTCCCAGATCACAATTAAAAGAATTTGAAAACTCTATTGAATATCCCAAGCAATACCGGGACTTTTATCGCTTTTCATAGATTTCAAGGCATTTGGTATTTCATTCATATTTATTGGCTCTTCTAGTTTTTCTGTCAAAGTGTTTTGGAAGAACAGGAACGTTAAGTTAGGATAGTATTTCACTGTGGTCTATTTTGTTATCTTTTTTCAGCATATAAATCTTGATAAAAATTGTTTTTGCCTCCACACAGAATGTCCTTTTCGGGTCAGTAATTAACTCACCGTCGTCTGATAACAGACAGTTAATGGCTTTACTGGTAAATTGTCTGTTTTCAAGGTTACAGAAATATTTTGAAGGTTTTTCGCCTTCTTCCTGCCATAACATTCTGTTTCTAATTTGGATACCTTTGACCTCTTCCTCTTTCATTTTTTCAAGTTCTAACTTATATGTGGATAGATCAGATAAGAGAGCCTCATCTATATTTTGAAAGTTCCTACGGATTGTGTCTTCAGTATCAGTTATTTTAGCTTCCAATTCTTTAGTTTTTCCTTTTTTTAATTTCTTAATGTAGGAGCTGTAGGATATTGATTTACCTCTAATATTCATCAACAAAGTTTCCGAAAGAGACAATCATCGATACTTAAGAGCAAATCATTTTCGAGTCAATATTCTTTATATCTTCGGTATAGTTATTAAATGTATATTGCTGTTTGGCTAGTTCTATCTCGGTCCTTACTATTTTATGTATTCTTTGTCTCGTAATAAAAGAGGTGTTAAATTTCCAGTAACCTTTTCCTCTTGTGTTATTATTATTTGAAAAAGTAAGTGTTATGGTAGAGTGGTCAGATTTATAACCAGGGAGAATTTCAGGTGTCTACTGTCATACAAACCAACATGTCGTGGGAGACCCAAAAAATCTAACCTGGCTTTGCTGTCTAGGGTTTTTTCCACCAAGTATACTTTCTTTCGTGTATTACTATTAAGATCATGCCAGATATCTATCAAGTTAAGTTGATCTATTTTTCCAAAATAACATTTCTTGCATTAGGGTTATTAATATGTTTGTAGTTCTCTAGATCTATGGTTGGGTCAAGTACCACATTCCAATCACCACAGAGCACAATAGATTCATTATCAAAATGCATCAATTTGATTAAATAGATTTCTATAAAAATCAGGCGATATCTTGGTTAGGGCCATAGATAGTGGCTAGGGTTATTCTTATACCATCGATACTTATGTCAACAATGATGAAATTACCATTCTCATCTTTCTTATATTTATGAATATCGATCTCTCTATCATTGTTAAACAATATTGCAACACCTCTAGAATTTGACCGAAATGGTGATATGATACATTTCAAACCCCATTCATTCCCTCATGGTATTCCTATGTCTTTTCAGAGATGTGTATGTCTTGCAGGCATATAGCGGTGGCTTCGTTTTTCTCCAAATGTTCATAATCTCTCTTCTCTTTTGTTTGTCAGCTAGTCCCCTACAGTTAGCGGAAACTATTTTAATTTTATTATCCATTTTCCTAAGTGAGACATGATATTTAAAAAGCAAAACTGTTTTTATTGTTGTTATAGTAAGAAGCAGTCTCATGGGGTGTCTGCTATACCCTCTATATGCCCATTAAAATGGTTTTAAGTTTGCTGGAAAATAAAAGAAAAAACTTTGTAAAAAAGAGAATAAAAGAAACAACATCCAGGTATAATGTTGTTTAAAGACAGGTTTAGCACGCTTCCGATCTATTTGCTCCTTAACCTAAGGTGGCGTGGTTAGGTAATAGCAACAAGCTTAAAATATAAAAGAAAAGTTCAGTGAACATCGAAGTGTGAATATGTGTAAAAGTGTTATATAACCTTCACATCTCAGAATCACATAATTTCAATGGCGATATCAGAACTTGTGATATCTAGTTCACTAGGAAAATTGAAAGGAAAGATCTTACAGGAATAAGGATTCATCAAGCATCAAAAAATTCATTCCCAACCTTTGGGCCTGAGTTCATAGTTAACAAGTCTTATTTTAGACTTATCTTCAATTCACTAAAAAAAATTAAAGTGAAGGGTAATATAAATACAAGGATTTGAAAACTCAAAAGATAATTTCGATACCTTGGCTAGCTTCATATCCAACTAAGCATGGATTTAGGTACCAAATATCATGTAACAAGCACATCTCAATCTAACATAATGATTTCACTCATTACTTAACTAAGAAATTGGAGTGAAAGAAGATGTAAATAAGTTGTAGAGGTCTCAAAGTGAGTCGAAGGACTCAGTTAATATTCCTGAATAGATGAAACATGTTGTTATTTTTTAAACAATGGCTTCTGTCTCTAGCAGAAACTTTTTCATAGGGAGATTTATATAATACATCAAACTGGATGTCACTAATATGAAACAGATATACACAAATACCACTCAAATAGGGAGCATGTTCAAAATCGGCAGCACCGGTTTAGACCTTTTATGAAAGGAGGCGGTAATTATCATGTTATATGCATTATATGAGAACGGTCCATTGTTGTTTGTGTATTTCAGATGCATAAACACAATATCTCACATTTTGGAAAATGATGTGAATATAGAGTAGTATTTATATTTCGATCAAACATGATTTCAGCGATTTATGTCAAATTCACTAAGAGATTAAAGTGAATTATAAAGTTAATATTATGTAGCCATATATCTCACATTTTGGAAAATGATGTGAATATAGAGTAGTATTCATATCTCCATCAAACATGATTTCAGCGACTTATATCAAGTTCCCAAAGGGATTAAAGTGAATTATAGAGTTAATATTATGTAGCCGTCATATGTCCACTTTCAACATAATAATTTCACATACTTGTGTCTAATTCATTGAACAATTCAAGAGAGAAGTGATAAAAGTACAAGTAACATTTATGTCTCAGGCTTACATGATGATTTCATACACCTTTTTATGTCTCGTTCATCAAGAAGTTTAAGCGCAGGGTGATCGTGGTGAAGGAAATATCTAACATGCCAGTTTGAACATCTTATGTCCAATTATCTAAGAAATTGGCGTGTATAAAAGTATAAATAAGTTGTAGGAACCAAGAAGTTTAAATGAAGGGTGATCATGGTGGTATAAGTATTATGTAGCAGTCGTCTCTCAATCCAACATGATAGTTTGAACAACTCGTAATAGTTTGAACAACTTGATGTCTAGTTAACTAAGAAATTGGAGTGAAAAAAGATGTAATGCTCATGCTTAATTGCTTGTCTTCTTCTTCTTGCGAACTATAGTGGAACACTTGAATCCCCTTTTGAAGCTCCCTTCAAAAAAGTGGACGTAAAATCACTCACCCCAGTTGTCTCCCTTTCCCCCATCTTTTGGCGCCCAAGTTGGTCACATGATCGGCCATGCTTGTCACTCTCTCATTCTTCACCCTAGTGGACGGTTGTGAGAGCGCCTGGGTGCCCTATGTGGCATATATCCTTTGAATTTTAGGCTTTTATACTAAATTAGGCTGTATAAGGGCTTTAGCAAGGATTTACCAGCAATATGGTTTGAAATTTATTCTAAATTTGTCAGAAAATTACATGTTCGTTTGTGTCAGAGCAAGTTTGCCACACAGCAATATCGCAGCTATATGATGGCAGTCTGTAAATAATTGATCCTAGACCAGACAACCCAGTGATTGACATCATGAGCATCGATCTACACAGCTGAGATACAGTGACATGCATCAACCCAGTCAGTGAGTCCGATCACCCGATCCTGTTAGTTTCCTCCTGTGACAAACATGGGTTGCTGGAGATACATGCTCTAACCTGGATGTTTGCAGGTCCTGGACCAAAAGGTTTTTAAACCTGTATTGTGACATTTCAGTTTTTTGGGGGCAGGGGTTCAAAACTTTTATTAAAAGCCACTTGCCACAGGGCAAGTGCCTTTAAGAAAGTAACTTGCCCTGACTAATTTTCCACTTGCCCTGATTTTATGACATAATCATGATGATTTAATTATGGAAGAATAAATCAACATGGTATTTAATGTTAATATTTACTGGACTATTTATTGAGGAATGATAAATACCAACGAAAGATAACTCTAAATTATTATCATTGTGAAAGTTACTTCATTTTGTTCTCATATTGTGTCAAATGTTAATAGCTACATTTTGAGAAAATATGACATGAAATCCAAGTTTATTTGCAGTTTGAAACCGTAGGCAGAAATTATCTAGTAGCCCACGGACAAGTAAGATACCATTATTTGATGGCAGGAAATAAAAATTGACTTGTCCCGGACGTCGGGCAATGGGATTTTTGAAACTCTGGGGAGTGAGGAAGTTCATTAACCAACTTTTCAAAAATGTCAAGGCTCATGATGCTAGTGATGATGTTTATTTTCAAATAAGATATGACAGTGAGAGCTGTTTGCTTGGATTGGAAAAGTCCTGTAAGGTTGAGTTTGTTGGGTTGAAAACTTTCAGACAACCCCTTTTCCCAAAGCATAAGGTGTTAAGTTTTATATTTGAAATGGAACTTTCAAACTATTTTTGTAAATATGAATATATTCTAATTATTTCAGGTTATCATCCTGGATCAAAGGTCACGCATATCTGTCATCTAAGGAGTATTCTAATGCAGTTCAGACATTCAAACACATGGAAACCAAGGTGGGCAGACAAGTTGTCTCGCATAAAATCAGGGGTTTTACTCAGGTTTAATTGTTCTGCAGCAGGGCCTAGATTTTCAAAGCTCTCTTAGCGCTCAGATAGTCATAGGTTAAAGTTAATGTATGGCATTTACGACTATCTTATCGCTAAGAGAGCTTCAAAAATCTAGGCCCAGGTTCGTGATTCAGTCCTTGTATATCTTGTATGGCATGTCAAACATAATGTATAATAGTCTATCATCCATTGGCTGTCAAGTTGTGATGAACTTTTGAGTCTTGAATCCTCATATATGAAACTCTAAGTGAAAGACAGTAGCTATGAAACGTTTTACCTGTGAGGATCTATAATATCTCCCATAGATACATGATATTGATCCCACCATCTTGGTCCAGTGGATAGTTTCTGACAGAGCCGTAAGTCGATGGTTCAATCCCCGATGACCTACAAGAGGATGTTAAAAAATAACACCTTGCCTGGATCTTAACATTAAGGCAAAGAACAAGGACTGGTTGCTTCGAAGTCAGAGTACCGTGTTAAAGTTGGGTATCCATGTTATATCAGGCCAACACTATAAAAACAGTATTAGTCTGATGGAGCACAAGCAGCCACACACACGAGCATACGCATCACTGTACGCATCAAAAGTGCAGTAATTTTAAGTGAGGTGTTAGGCATCTCCTCTCCTCAACTCTGTATTGACATGTTTGTGTTGTGTTCCAGACATGTTTGTGTTGTGTTCCAGACATGTTTGAAGGACAATGTGCAGTTGTTGAACTGTGTCGGGGAGGCCAGGTTCTATGATGGCCAGTATAATCAGGCCATGGCAGTCTTCCAGAGGGTAAGTACACAGAAAACACAGAGTTTTGCATCCTCGATAGTCAGTGGTGTCATATCTCTGTTATATTTTGACAAATACTTCATTCGCTACTATTGGTTTTGAGCACAAGTTGAATGAATTCCATTCATACATGCGGAAACAGTTGCTTCTTTAGCAAGTCGAGTGCCATGAAATAACATGCAATTTATTCGTCTATGTTTAAAGCTTTATAATAATAATGCTAATTTTGGCATCCTAGGATCCAACACAATGCTACTTCTGGCGTTACATTATTACCCTGACAGAATTGTACTTTCGAAGCCGCTACTAAGCGTTTCACACCACCGTATAGGTCCGCACATTCGCTTGTTAGGTACCCATTTTAAACAGCTGGGTGAACTGAGTGCTATGTGGACTAAGTGCCTTGCCCAGGGACACACACAGTATGAGACCCAGGTCACAAACGTTTGGTGTCTCCACCGGGATTCGAACCCGGGCCTTTGGCATGAGAGGCCAGCATGCTATCCACTACACCACGGTGCTCCACTGATGTATACTACAAGTTACATAACAGGGTTTTCTCTAACTAACTATATATGATAGTGCACGAGGGCAGGTCCTTAGGCCTGAAGGCGAAAACCACTGAAAACCACTTTTGTTTTCTGACCCACAGCTTTTTGTTTTCTGCTAAGGTCCTTATGAAAATACAGCTTTCTGATCAGGACCCACAACTTTTTAGGGTTCTAGGTCCTTAGGCCTGCAGCTCTTTAGGGTTAAGGGAAAACACTGCATTGGTGTATTGTTTCATATTGTTTCAGGTACACGCGTTAGATCCACTAGTCTTGAAAAACATGGACCTCTACGCATTCCTTCTTAAACGAGAAAAGAAATTCAAGGAATTACAAGGGTGAGACGAAGTCATTTTAACATTTCAGTTTGTGATACAACACTTCATTCAACAACATAACTACCATCTATAGGCGTGTAAATAATCATGCCAGAACCAGTGACTGATACTATGAGCACCATTCCACACCATCATGCCCAGGTTGTGGGGTGGGTTTTATCAAAATTGATAACATCGAATATCTGCATCACTTCCCTTCCAGATTAAGGTCACACGTGAAGTACTTAAAATAAAGCTAAAAGCAATCTTAAACCTCACTCACTCCATGCTTGTCGTAAGAGGCGACTGACAGGATCGGGTGGTCAGGCTTGTTTACTTGGTTGACACATGTCATTGTATCCCAAGTGCATAGATCGATGATCACGCTGTTGATCACCAGATTGTCTGGTCCAGGGCCCTGTTTCACAAAGCTCTTGTAGCGCTACGACTACATTAAGTCAATGTTACAGCATATTAGGTACGATTGCTATGAGAAAATTTACGAGATCTTAGGCTTACGAGAGCTTTGTGAAACGGGGCCCTGACTGTGGCATTAAACTCAATCACCCAAACCCACTCACTCATATTGCCTACAGCAGATGTCTGGAATGCCTTGTTTTGTGTTCTGTGTTTATATTTAACCTGTCAAAAGTAAACTGTCAGAAATACTTTGACTATATGTTTTATCCTTGGTGTTGCATTATTCAACAGGCTGGCTCAGCAGCTGATGTGCATCTCTGATGGTGCCACTGAACCGTGGGTTGCCATGGGTTACTATTCTCTAATGTGCATCACAAAGCCCAAAGAGAGGGCGGCAAGAGCTGTGTACTTTGCTCAAAAGGTAACCACAATTTCATTACAGTTTGCTCATGGATCTAACATTGTAATGGTACATAACAAGACCATGGTGTGACAAGATAGTTGTTACTCGATTTGAAATGGATGCGAAAGAGCTCAACCAAGCACGCATTCTGAAACTGCAATATTTAAAAGTCAGGGTGACATATTGAGAATGTGAATTTATTTCAAACTTCAGAACCTAGTTTTTACATTGTTTATCACTGTTGAAGCACATCAAATAAAGCTGTGTTGCTTGTCCTGTGTCCTGGGATCTGTGAAGATCTGGGTTAGAATTGTTTTTTAGTAACCCATGCTTGTCGTAAAAGGTGACTAACATCATCGGGGTGGTTAGGCTCGCTGACTGGGTTGACACATGTCATCGTATTCCAATTTCATAGATCTATGCTCATGCTGTTGATCACCTGATTGTCTGGTCCAGACTCGATTATTTACAAATATTGCTGACTGCGGCATAAAACCAAACTCACTCACTCACTCCTGTGTACTGGAGTCATAGATCTCCCAGCTACTGTTGTTGGCATCTTGTTTTTGTCCAAATGTAATGCATATACCAAAATAGATTTTTATTTTATCTATATCTTTGTTAAGGAGTACTTTGCGTTTCTCTGAAATCAAAAAGGGCTCAAGATGTTTATAGACAGGTTAAGAAAAGCTGTAATTACAATGCAGAGCGGTACAGATTTCGCCTTCAAAAAGGTGTCTAAAAGTTGTCATGAAGACCAGCAGATTTAAAGCCAGCCTGAAACTATGGCTGATTCTACTTCTCAACAGTACAAGCTATGATTCACTTGTGTTGCAGGCGTATCAGATAGATCCCAGGTCTATACAGGCTCTCATCCTCAAGGGTACAGCTCTGCTAGAACTAAAGAAGATTCAGGATGCCACACTTCACTTCCTGGAGGCTGTCCGACTCGCTCCACATCGATTTGAAGCTTACAATGGTAAATACTGAACATATCCTGTATGCTGTTCTGTGTACCATTAACATATGTCACAATGTCACTGTGACTGTTTCAGGTCTTTTAATGACATTTAGAAGTGATTCACATAAGGAAGAGAGTTTTATGGATGTCAGTTTTATGTTATGAAGAACACAATGTTTTGGAGTACAGAGCTCCAGATAAGATTTAGCTCATATGGGTACTGTACCAACTGTAATTTTTGGAGTGGGTATTATGAATGTTGAGTGGGTATTTCATTTTCCGTTACCCACTGCTTTCAAAAATGTGCGTATTTCAGTCATTTTACTCACCTAAGTATTATGTGACTGAGTAAGTTTAAGCAGGTATACTCTGCCTAATATCATACCTTATCAAAACCAACTTAAATATAATGGAAATGATTTCATAAAAATATCACTTATCCAATACTGACAGTACAACACTAGTCCTATACTAACAGTACAACTTGATAGCAATCGATGTCTTTTTCATTACGCAAGCGATTTTTATAAATATATTCCGTACGCATTTGTTTTAAACTTTTTGTGTATCTAACATTTTAAATGCGTAATTGGTACGCAACAATTATTTTTCAATGCGTAATTGGAAATTTTCTATGCGTATTTTACCCGGATACGCAGCTTATCTGGGCCTCTGAAGTATATACTGCTTCGTCTGAAACATTGTGTTCCTCATAATCAAGAAGTTGACATCCATAAACCTCTCTTCCTTGTACCTTGTATGTTATAGAGTGACCATTTATCATATTTTACAGCAGCTTGACCTGTGTACAAGTTATGGGCATGGGACCTGGGGGTTGATAGTGGGAACATCTTGTTACCATGACTACAAAAGGAATGACAAGTCTTTATTGATGATCAACTTCTTTATTGTACAATAGCGATGTTTCGGTATTTATAATTATACTGTTTTCAAGTATGGTGCGGATTACCACTTCTCCATGTAGACGGGGAATGATCTGTTTGAGAGGCATTCTAGAAGTTGTAAACAATAGGAATGACATTCTTTATGGATGATCAACTTCTTTATTGTACAATACCGACCTTTCAGTATAGATAGGGGCCCATGGGTAGCCTAGTGGTTAAAATGCATAGAAATTTCCTCGTCATTAATAATTTTTGCAAGACCCAAAGGTTCGAATCCCCACATGGGCACAATGTGTAATAGAAAAAGCCCATTTCTTAGTGTCCCCTCACCGCGGATGTTGCTGGAATATTGCTAAAAGCGTGGGTTTAATTAGTATGAAAAAGGCAAACTCAGTCAGTCTGTCAGTAAGTATAGATACTTTACCATTTATAATACTTTTACAAGCATAAAGACTTGTTGTTCCTGTCACCTACAACTTCAGCAATGCCTCTCAAACAGTACATGACTAACAAGACATATGTTATAGTTCATTTTGATCACAAGCAATATTCTATCATCAGGCTAATCCCCATCTGTGAATTTCTTTTTGAAATTAGAATGCCACAATGATTTTAAAGTGGGTAAAATGTTGAATTATGAAACCTACATGAATGTGTAACAATAAGTATTGTGTAATACAGGTGTAACGTCAAATATCAGGGCCCCGTTTCACAAAGCTCTCGTAAGCCTAAGATCTCGTAACTTTTCTTGTAGCATTCATACTTCCTAGACTGTAATTGACTACGATTGACTTGGCGATAACGAGGCCCCGGACTGAAAGCTTTCATGAATGTTGTTATTGGGGAGGCCTCCCGGACTGCTTCAAAGCTTTGTGAAACGAGGCCCCGGACTGCTTCAAAGCAACACTCATGATACGGATGTTGTTATTGGGATGCTAGCCTCTACAACATTGACTTACGATAGTCGTGGCGCTCTGGCTTTGTGAAAGCTTTGCTGCAACACGAGGCCCAGGACTGCTTCAAAGCAACACTCATGATACGGATGTTGTTATTGGGGATGCTAGCCTCTACAACATTGACTTACAATAGTCGTAGCGCTACGAAAGCTTTGTGAAACGAGGCCCCGGACTGCTTCAAAGCAACACTCATGATACGGATGTTGTTATTAGGGATGCTAGCCTCTGTTAAAGATCTGTTTCTGTTTCAGGTCTCATCGAGTGTTATCTCTCCAACAACAAAATCAAAGATGCTCTCAGTCTCTGTTTAAGATCTGGGCAGGGCGGATGATACGTACACATGGGAACAGTGCGAGAACGTTCACTGTACGTCGTCGTAAACAATAGTGTAATATATATCAATACAAAGTCATTGTTTTATGTAAAATGTAGGCCTCTCTTGACAGTATGAGGTGCAAGCTGGCTAGTGACCTTCCTTCAGGCTTTCTCTCGTTATGTTTTCCGGCAGTTGAGATTCAGGTTCAGAATAGGTCCTCCGCAGTGTATGCTGGTGTAAGTGCAAGGAATTAATTGGGTTGTCATGCTCGGTGAATTGGTTAATAATGTGTCTTCATACCAAGACGATCTAACCGCTTCCGTGGTGTAGTGGTTAAAGCGTCCACCCGGAGAGCGGGTTCGATCCCCGGTCACATCATACCAAAGATGTTAAGATCGGGTATTTGGTCCCCGCATGGCGCTCGGCATTAATGGGCACAACAAGGACTGGTCGGCTGGGAGTCAGTATAATGTGTCCGAGTATGGTATTCATGCTTAACTGCGGCATGGTATCTCAGTGGGCTAGCACTATAAAATGAGCTAAGTCTGGGCTAGTACAAGCAGCCATGCATACACATACACACGCATGCACGTCGTCATATAAGCGAAATAATCTTAAGTACGACTTTAAACCCAATTTCACCTCACCTCACCTCACCTCACCCAATTCAACTGGGGCGTTGGGGTAGCCTCTGGGTTAAAGCGTTGGCTTGTCGCGCGCCTCCGGGTTCATCCCCACATGGGCTCAATGTGTTACAGCCCATTTCTGGTGTCCCCAGCTGGATATTGCTGGAAGTATTGCTAGAAGCGATAAAACTGTCCTCAGTCAAATCAGTCAGTCACCCAATTCAACTAGCGCTGGCTGATTCTGGGCATTATCTCCATTTCATCCCAAAGCGTGCTCAATGGGGACAGGTCGAGTAACTGGCTAGAATGGAATGGTCTGCTGTCTCAGGAAATCTGTCACAACAGTGATCTCATGTTGTTATCTTGCTGAAGCGTGATGTTACATCTGTCCTTGAATGGATGACATGAGGCCCAGTTGATCTCATCCTGTATCGCCAGACCTGTGATTGACATTGACAAGTTGTGTCCAACCATAACATGTGATGCTTCCCCAACCATAACACTGACACGCCACAAAATAGCGCTCACTCACAGTCTGTACACGCTTGCTCTGCCATCTGAGCTGTCCAGATGAAATCTCGACTTCGTCAGTGAACAAAACACATTCCCAATCCTGTCTCCTGCACCATAGATGATTGTTTGGTCCTGACTTAACAGGCTTATTTACAGGGGTGGAAATAACCCATTGGCTGGTGTCAAATAATTTGTATATCATACTACTGTCCAGTTGACTGGTTTTGTTTAAAAATCAAGAAGAAACAGAATAGTGGAAAAATTATCAGGGCAAGTGATTTGTTTACAATAGCAATTATAAAGTTATTTCCACCCCTGAGGTGTCATGTTACTGAGTGTGGTTTTAAATAAGAAACAAACATTCTGTTTACAGTTAATTGTTGAAAGGACAATGTGTGAAGTCCATGTACCACTTCTGGTGGACTCAAGTTGTTTTTATCATTCCATTATATTCCTAATCTTTAATATGTTTTGTGTGCTGTCAAACACCACACACTCAACAATATCCCAGCAGTGACCCGAATTAATCTGTCCCGACAAGACATCAATGTTTGATATGTGCAATGCTCCATATTGTCAATACAGTGGTTTTAAACATATTTATTTCAAAGGAATCCCTTTGGTAAGCAAGCATTATGTTGCTTATCTGAATACGCAACTCGAATACAGATCAATTATAGATATAATGATAAGGTCGGGAGAAAAACATGATATTAACAAATGATAAACAATGGCTTTCTGGAAATGTAACAATCATAAACTGTACAATAGCGACTTTTAGCGTTAGAGCCATTAATGTGTCTGGAAAATATTAATAGTAAGTGCAATTTCGTTTTACTATTACAACACAAATCTACCTGTCGGTACAATGACATAAACTAGTACAAGTCCACAGACATACACTGTGCACGCCATCATATGATCCTTGAACTGCAAGCATACATTGCTCTTTCACCTTAAACCTTGAACCCTGACAGGATCATCTGAAGTTTTAATGCATGGGACAGTACTACCGTGAGATGTTGCATATCTGTAGATACTGAGGTATGTCTTGTTTCGAACATTAGTTCTTTAGTATATTATTGGGTAAAGTGATTAAGTTATATTATTTGGAGGATCTTATGTTTCAGCTGTATGCATCTGTGTTGTCAAAAGATCCAAATATGATATCCAAGGTAGGTAACTGTGTTCTTCTAGCTCCTAGCCATGTATATCCAATACTTTGCAGCAGATAGTCAGATAGAAAGTGATTGCATTAAGTCTTATTGTTAAGACTGACTGACTGAGTTTGGTTTTACGCCGCTTTTAGCAATATTCCAGCAACATCACGGCGGGGGACACCAGAAATGGGCTTCACACATTGTGCCCATGTGGGGATTCGAACCCGGGTCTTTGGCGTGACGAGCCAACGCTTTAACCATTAGGCTACCCCACAGCCCCTATTGTAAAGAAGCCACACTACATACCAGTTCATCGTTTGCCCAAAATGTAAATGTGACATCTTTTTTTTCATGTTTATATGGGTCATATTCATCACCAAACAAGGGTAGTAGAGTAGCCTAGTGGTTTAAGCATTCACTCATCATGCCAAAACACGGTTCGATTCTACACATGGGTACAATGTGTGAAGCCACTTTGTGGTGTGACAAAGCTGCATTGCTAAGAATGGAGTAAAACCACTCACTCACTTACTCGCTCATCACCAAATGAAAGTTTCGTGGCTTTTGATTTGGATCTTAAGAAAAGTTTTGGGGATGATTTCCGAATCTGAATAACAGCTGTTGATGAAATTAGACAACTGATTGTATACTGGGGCGGTGGGGTAGCCTAGTGGTTAAAGCGTTGGCTCGTCACGCTGAAAACCCGGGTTCGAATCCCCACATGGGTATAATGTGTGAAGCCCATTTCTGGTGTCCCCTGCCGTGATGTAGCTGGAATATTGCTAAAAGCGGCGTAAAAACCAAACTCAGTCAGTCAGTCAGATTGTATACTGTAACTGTGTGTTAAGTGTTCTGTATGTGTATGATATTGCATGGTTGTATCCAGGCTAAGCCCTATCTGGAGAAGGCGATGAAGATGGACCCGTCATCTCTGGACCCTGTGTACAACATGTGTGAGATCCTGGCCCAGGAACAGCAGCATGATCGGGGCATAGAACTGTGAGTTGACATGCACAGTACTTCTGTTTTCAAATACTCGTGTATCTATTGTTGTCTGATTGTGTGTTGGACCCGTGAAGTTCGGGGGTTAGAATTGATCTTCAGTAACCCATACTTGTCGTAAGAGGCGACTAACGGGATCAGGTGCTCAGGCTCGCTGACTTGGTTGACACATGTCATCAGTTCCCAATTGTGCAGATCAGTGCTCATGCTGTTGATCACTGGATTGTCTGGTCCAGCCTCAATTATTTACAGACAGCTGCCATATAGCTGGAATATTGGTGAGTGCGGCATAAAACTAAACTCACTCACTCACTCACTGATTGTGTGTTGCCACTCTCCTTGAACACAGAGGCAGTGGGTTAGACTAGTGGTTAAAGCGTTGGCTCGTCACGCAGAAGACCCGGGTTCGAATCCCCACATGGGTACAATGTGTGAAGCCCATTTCCGGGTGTTCCCCGCCGTGATGTTGCTGGAATATTGCTAAAAGTGGTGTAAAACCAACTCAGTCAGTCAGTTGTTGAACACATGGGATGCAACATGTCTCTACTTATTCAGAATGTCAGAAATAGTATACTGAGCTTGTAGGTAAGTGTTGTCTGATATTGTGTTGTAAGCCTCCATGAATAGTGTGAAAGGTATATCTGCTTTTCTATCGCAACATCTATGCATTGTGAAAACCCTGTCTGTACTTATTCAGAACGACTGGGCGGTGGTGTGGCCTTGTGGCTAAAGCATTAGCTCGTAATGCCGAAGGCCCGGGTTTGATTCCCCACATAGGTACAATGTGTGAGGTCCAATTGTGGTGTCCCCACGCCGTCATGTTGCTAGAATATTGTTTAAAGCTCACTCACTTTTCAGCATAGCATCTCAGATTTTCAAATCATCAAATTGAATTTTGAATAAATAAATAAAATAGACAGAATGACAGACATAGTTTATTGAGCACATTAAAATTAGTTCCTGCTAAATGGCCTCATTTGCATATTTGTTACCAAATTTATCAAAGTTGCATCCCAACACTATGATGAAAACACTTATGTACTAATGGCGTCGCCTCGTCTTGCAGTCTCCAGAAGCAGCTGGAGAGTCACTCTACCGGCCGACTACATCAGCTGCTGGGGGACTTCCTGGCCCAGACCAACAGGATACAGGAGGCCATGGACCAGTACATCATCACCATCACGTAAGTGCAGCAGCAGGTGCCCAGTAGTGTGGCTGGTGTCCCCCTAACTGTGATATTGCTGGAATATTGCTAAAAGTAGGTGTAAACTTCAAGCTTAGAGTCCTGGTGTTGCCAGCACATGTCTGGAGGTACAGAGCAAGCTGTTAGGCACATGCTAGTGTTTCCAGTAATCGTCACACTTGCCTACAGGAATTGAATTCCAAACAAAAAATCGCTTGCTAGTGTCTGCAGTCTGTTGTGTCAAAAGCCTCCATTTCCAGGTTGTGCGACATCTCTTGTGTCAAAAGCCTCCATTTCCAGGTTGTGTGACATTTCTTGTGTCAAATGCCTCCATTTCCACATTGTGCGACTTCTTTTGTGTCAAGTGCCTCCATTTACAGGTTGTGTGACATCTCTTGTGTCAAAAGCCTCCATTTCCAGGTTGTGTGACATCTCTTTGTGTCAAAAGCCTCCATTTCCAGGTTGTGGGACATCTCTTTGTGTCAAAGGCCTCCATTTCCAGGTTGTGTGACATCTCTTTGTGTCAAAGGCCTCCATTTACAGGTTGTGTGACGTCTTGTGTGTCAAAGCCTCCATTTACAGGTTATGCGACATCTCTTGTGTCAAAGCCTCCATTTACAGGTTATGCGACATCTCTTGTGTCAAAAGCCTCCATTTACAGGTTATGTGACATCTCTTGTGTCAGGGGCGGTGGGGTAGCCTAGTGGTTCAAGCGTTGGCTCGTCACGCCGAAGACCCGGGTTCGATTCCCCACATGGGCGCAATGTGTGAAGCCCATTTCTGGTGTCCCCCGCCGTGATATTGCTGGAATACTGCTAAAAGCGGCGTAAAACTAAACTCAGTCAGTCAGTCAGTCAGTCTCTTGTGTCAAAAGCCTCCATTTCCAGGTTGTGTGACATCTCTTTGTGTCAAAGGCCTCCATTTACAGGTTGTGTGACGTCTTGTGTGTCAAAAGCCTCCGTTTACAGGTTGTGTGACGTCTTGTGTGTCAAAGGCCTCCATTTACAGGTTATGCGACATCTCTTGTGTCAAAGCCTCCATGAACAGGTTGAATGTTATCGGTTGCAGGATGGAGCCGCTGAACGTGAAGGCTCGTGAGGGAATCGAGCGGCTGGAGAAGGACAACGACATGGGCCTGGAGGGAGGCTACGACGTGGAGGTGGAGATGGGGGGAAGTGACAATGATGTGAGTGATGACGACGTCATCTGAATAATTGTCTTCATCAAGAGAATTCATTCCATTTGAAAACACAGACTCTGTATAACTCTTAGAAAATCTTTAAGCAGTTGTCCCTAAAGGAATCTCATTACATCAATGGATGAATCTGTGTCAGATGCTTCTTCAGATGCATCAGCTCAATGTTAGTTATGGCCAGTTGTGCTTTTTGATCAGACTGGTTATCAGGGCCATATTAGATATGATCAACCTGTCTGAATTAAACTGTAAATGATCTATGACATATTTTCACTCCTCTCATCTGTGTAACTTCATAACATTATCATTTGTCAAAGATGACGCATGTTGTTTTGGAACTTGAACAAAAGGCTTGACTTAAATATAAAACCATACTCACTCACTTTGCTTATGATTCTCATTTGAATTCTAATGTTTGTGATTCTCATGATTTCTCCATTACATAAACTGCTGTTTAGAATTCACAATGATTGTGGTCAATTGAAAAAACTTCTCTTCACCTAATTGGTGAGAACTACGTGATATGATGTCATTAGTGGTTAGTGATGTTACATGACATGGATTCATTTGGGCTGTGATCCAGAAGGTGATTGCAAACTTTGTGATAAACTTCTGACAGCATTTGCGCTACAAACACATTTTGGAATCAGACCATGATGTGATGGAAATTAAGCATGCAACTCAACGGGTCTTTGCAGAAACCTTAGGGACCATTCATAATTTATGGCTAGGGGGGTGATGATGATTTTAAGAGAAGCGTGGGGTGAGGTTTGTCACCTATTTTCTTCTGCTGAGGTATGGGAGGTCTTCAATTTTGGAAGTTTGTACACATGAACCGGGGGAGGGGGGTCCAGTCCTTTTGTACATATACATATTTAAAATTAATGCTTAAAACATATGGGGAGGGGGTCACTGATTTGGTACATGACAGGAGGGGTGGGGGGTCACATACTTTGTACATAAGTTTTATGGGGGGGTCACTCACATTGTACATGCTTCTCTGTAAAAATCATCATCACCCCCCCTAGCTATAAATTATGAACGGTCCCTTATGTTGAGTGTTTAAAAAGTGTTGGGTCCCCACATTTATTACAATTGCTATTCGAGCACATATTCTTTTTTACAATAAATATCACATACAGTACTTCAGTGAAATTTTTGTGCTGGATTGACAGTTCATGCAATTTTCTTCATTTTAAGAGCTATTTATGCAAAGTTTGCAGACCTATTTTTTTTTTTTTCATTTATGACTTCATAACTGCCAAAACTATCGAAGCCAGTTCTTATGAAAAAATATATGTGTCAACAACAACATTTTTATAATCAACACAAAAACCTGATACAAAATCAGTGATATCGTTTGGCAAGAGTAGTGTTACACAAGCCCTGCCCATTTGGTTATCAGCCAATCAGGAGACAGTAGTCTCGAAGGCCATGCATGGCCGTTATGATTCTTTTTCAATTTATGGAAACATAGGGAGATATCGCTTTGACATTTGTACAATGCCCTGACATCATCAATTACATGACTCACAATGCTATGACGTCAAAACCTTGATGACGTCACAATTCTATGACGTCGCTGCACAGCAAGTCTGATGGCAGTACTGTGTTCAGAGATGTACATTTTTCATTTAAAACTATTTTGATGATAAATATAATATCACCCTCGTGTCTTCTGATGTCAAATATATCAACACTCGCTGATAAAAGTGAAAATATCCTGGGCAAGCCTCGGATATTTGTAACTTCATCAACTCATGTTGATATAATTTATATCAGTTTACTCTTGGGTGAGATCTCTATATATACAGTTATAAGAAAAATCAGGTGATCCTTACATATTTTGAGTGGTATGCATGGCTTGACCATGGGAATAGGATTGAATTAAGGATCCTTAGCATTTTTGAGTAGTATAAAGAATAACCCATTTGAAACGCAGAAATACAGACTTTCTGTTGCTCGTAAATGAATGCTGATAGCCGTCGCGAGACAGTCGGGTGTGACTCCATTCATTATCACGTGACAGATGCTCTATGATTCCTCGTATCTGATTGGTTATTGTCTAATTGTGTGTTTTGTTTGCAGGCTGACTTTGAAGGCAGTGACATGGAGAGCACTTGGTCCGAGACTGACTTCAGTTAACATAGGCTCAACCCTAGTCATTTCCTCAGTGCTAGTTCTGTGTGTGGACCCTGCAGACAGGGATGGAGATTAACTTGAAAACCTAAAACCCCACAGGGCTCATGTTGTTTTTTCTCTTGATAGCTCTCCACAGGGGCGGATCTCCCCCCAAAATTTTCCCTGAGGAGCATTTCCCCTTAACCTTTGGACTTGGTGATTTGTGTGCGCAGCCCCAACCCAACCCCACAACCCCCTCCGCCCAACCCCTGCTCCGAAATCCTAAGTGTGCCCCTGTTCCAAAATGTTGATGTTCTTTTAGAAAAAAAAGTCTTTCGATTTTCAGTCCTTACAGATTTCAAAACATGTGCCAAAAGTTTTGCCAAATATCAAGCACAGTGATTTGATAGGGTGAATACACTAAATGTATAATTTACCTTGTATTAAAAATCGAATAGACGATGGGCTAGTCGAATTATAATTTGGTTAGCCCAAGATAATTTCTACTAGCCATGGTCCTATGGGCAAGCGTTAATTTCCATCCCTGGAGCATACAGGCATAAATGGCAAATCAAAACAGCATATTGTTAGAACTTACATCTCCGCTGCTCAATCAGTAATAGACATTTAACTTGTAAATTATTGGGCTGTTTTTGCCTTGTCTGTTTTGTTGATGTTTAGATTATATTCATTGCTGGTATCACTGCATTTATTATCTTGTGTGGTACTTTTTCAATAAGCTTCGGAACCCAGATGGTTAAACATGCTGAGTACAGTGTGGTTATACCGTACGTTATTGTTGTATATCTGACGTCTGCTTAGGCTTTTTGTTTTGTATAAGTTGGTTTGCGAAACTGATCATGACACCTTCCGAGATTAACTACCATTTGTAGAGGTGTGACGATACAGAAATTTCACAATACGATACGTATTGCGATGTCTTCGAACAATACGACTCGATTCGATGCATATCATGATATGCTAACTTTCGTTATTTTCTTTAAAAAAGGAGGTTTTTTTTAGCAAGTAACAGTGTAAATTTTGACATAACCGTCAATTATTAGTGAAAATTAACAATTTTAAGGTCAATGATACATATCACATGCGAAAAAAAGTATTGATATATTTATCGTCAGATGAAGTATCACGATTATCTATACTACGATATATCATCAGCTCTAACCATTTGACTGGTGGCTCCTGAAACAGTGTTAGAGTTCCTGATGCAAATTAATGCCTGATTGAAAAACTTTTGCCGAAATGTTTTTGTAGCAATACTGAAATATTGTTTTTTATAAGTTGGTTTGCAAAACTGACCTTGACATTATCCAAGATGTCATCACAACCTTTTGACTAATGGCTCCTGGAACAGTGTAAGAGTCTGAAAATTAAATCCCGATTGAAAAACCCGACTTTTGCTGATAAAACTTGAAGCAATACTAAATGTAATAGAATGAACTGTCAAAAGGGTAGTGGGTAGCATAGTTGTTGAGGTGTTCACTTGTCAGGCTGAAGGCAGAGTTCGATTCCCTACATGGTTACAATGTATGAAACGTAATTCTATAGCTAGTATGCTTCTTGGTGATGTTGCTGGATTACTGTTGAAATAACCATACCCCTTCACTCTTCTGCTACACATGAACCTAATATGCTACAAATTAATACGTTGACTGTCTATCACGAGTATACTCGTATCAATTCTGGTCGAATTTGCCACTACAAGTTATCTCATAGCTACATTTTAACACAAGTTTCACATGTTGGCAAAATAGGCACAAGAAAATAACGTCTCCTGGCATTCTTTGAAACCACCAGGAGACGATTGCTTCTTGTGCCTATTTTGCCAACATGTGAAACTTTTGTTAAAATACCACCGATATAGTTAAAAAGATAACTCGTATACTACGAGTATACTCCTGTTGGCGGGGGGCAGTGGGGTAGCCCAGTGGTTAAAACGTTCGCTCGTCACGCCGAAGGCCTGGGTTCGATTCCCCACATGGGTACAACTTGTGAAGCCCATTTCTGGTGTCCCCCGCTGTGATATTGCTGCAATATTGCTAAAAGGGGCGTAAAACTAAACTCAGCCAGTCAGCCAGCTCATGCTGGCGGTCAACGTGTTTTGCCATTCATTCATTGCAAGAAAGCTATTTTGGAATCTGAAATTCTATCTTATGTATATTTCTATACCAACTGAATTGAATATGGGGTAACGAAATTGGAGACCAACATGTTCAAAGTAAAAGCCCTTGTTACTACTAGAGTTAGGAATTGGTTGAAATCTCACAATTGTTGATTGCATCACTACCAACAAGCAATCATCGAAAAAAAATTGGTTGGCGTCATTTTTCAGATTTTCTTATTCAGGTTGTTACTGTAGATGAGTATAACATGATGCAACTTGCTACTTTAAAGTGATGACTAATATAGCATAAACATAAACTTCCCACAGTCTTCAAGAAATTTTCAGTCATTACTTTTCAGTTAATGAAGTGAGTTTTCAAAGAATTAAACACGTTTTCAGTCCCTGACAACTTCGAAGATATGTTCCATCGTCAAGTGTTTTAAAGACTAAAAAGTAGTTCCAAAATCATTTGTGTTCGATAATGAGAAAATGTGATCAATTGCTTGGTCGTTTGGTCAATGTAACCAGTCTTCGATTATTTCCATTAATTGGAACACCACTAGTTACTACATGTTTATTGGTCACAATAATTACAGACGTACATGCTGTCAGGCATCATGGTAGTTGAATTGAGTATGAAGCTGAATTTTAATTGATCTTTCAGCTTTGGTATGTATGACGTGTATGGAAGGCAATTAGGGCCATACCATGATTAAAATGTTTCTTGAAAGTTTTCATGACTTGATGAAATTTCACCCTAGTGTGTTGCAAATTCAAGATGTTACACTATGAAAATTTACGATATTTTGTTGAAATGTTTTGATCCTGTTTTGACATTTATTTGAAATTTTCAATACATCTGTGCTGTAGGACTGCCCGTTCTTCATTTGAGATAACCAAAGATATGACTGATCAAAAATAGCATTTATGGAGACATGTACAAAGTTACAATGTCATTCTAGGTTGTCAGACCTATAAACATCAGTATAAACATCATGATGTTTTATTTCAACATGAAGACTTTCACCAGCACATATTGATGTTTGATTGTTGCCAAGGAACCATTGTATTTTCATCCTAACAGTATTGCACATTATTTTAGTTATACTTGAATAAGAATTTAATGTCAGTATATTGTGAAAGTAACAATAAATTAAGATTAGATATAATTACTCATGTTGAAGGCAATTTTCATTTAATTTAGTTATTGTGCGTGGATGGCTGGGTGCATATGGAAAGGTAGACTGTATTTGTGATGATCATCGTACAATATATTCTGTAAATCATGAAATAAATACAAGCAAGAAATAAATATCTTAATGTGACTGTCAATAATAACCAGTTAATAATATGCCACATTGTATATATTTTTCATGCATTTATTATGTAGGACGCAATAAGGAAACAACCAGTATCTCTTTGAGGGCACCATCAGTCTTTTTTCAGATTTTGTATACCATACGTTCCGCTATCACTGTATCTCTAATACTTTGCAGTGCTGTTGTTAATTGTTTAATGTTAATCACAATAGACACAATGTTTAGATGTACATGCTAACACCATTATTAAGCATGTGATGATATAATTCAGGGCTCGATTTAGTACTTTGTTACTTGCACTGGTGCAACCCAAATATTACACAGTGTAATCTAGCTATTAGCTGAGCTTGCACCTGGTGCAAGTCAAGTTTTGAGTTGGTAAACTCTCAATACAATTTCTAAATAATTCAATACCATATTTCTTACTTTACATATTGCAATAAAAGCAGTGCACCTGGAATTTGGCTGGTGCAACTAGGTTTTTATCTTAGGTTGCACCTGGTGCAAGTAGGTTAACATCTCTTAAATCAAGCCCTGTATTTAACTGTATTTAACAGTCCTTGGTATAACATTACAGTTGACATGGAAGCAGGATCTTAGTTTCATAAGTGATTGTTTTTAAGGATTTTCTAAATGAAGAATTGTAAATTATCTCAGGCTTTCTCAGTTACAATGATCTTTTGTTTTGAAGTCCCATGACCACTGACAAATGATCTGATTAGTTGCTTTTGTTGATGTGGTTCAGCTAAGATTAGACAGACTAACAATGTAGATAGTCTTTATTTACATACATATACTGAGGGAAACAAACAAGGGATCACATGAAAGCACAAGTGTTCCTCTATTTTTGTCTAGGTTTCTTCACAGTTGTGTAATACTAAGCTTGTGAATAAACCTGGGGAAAAATAAAGGAACACTTGTGCTTTCATGTGATCCCTTATTTTTTTCCCTCAGTATATGTTAACTTCCATGAGTTGTGAGTGTGAAGAGGTGAATATAGGTTCCATGAAGATAATGGTATGGCACAGTAGGGGTGATGACAGACTTAGAGACATATCAGTTCGAATCTGGCATTAAACCACAGCAATATGTTTTTGACATGAATAAGGAGGCACTTCTCCACATCGAATTTGGAAGACCTTGTCAAATATGCAAACATGTACCAAAAGCTCGGAAACGAGTTAACAAAAAGTCACGTCCAGGGCCCAGTTGCACAAAGCGATTGTAGCGCAACGACTGAGTTAAGCCTGTGTGAGGGTATGGGAGTTACACTCATCATGGTAGTGCCAGATCGCTTTGTGCAATGGGGCCTTGCTTCTTATATTATCAGTATTTGTGACCATAAGGTAGATGCTAGGCCACAATGAGTTAGTGATGTTCTTTTTCAACAGTATATTTCTGTTCAAATGGCATCAGGTATATTTCAGTTAAAAAAAAAAATATTTATGTGTTTTCAATTGACAGATTTTGGCCTGATAGTAGGTGAGGTGAGGTGAAATTGGGTTTAACGTCGTGCTTGAGAATATTTCGCTCATATGACGACGTGCATGCATGTGTATGTGCGGCTGCTTGTACTAGCCCAGACTGAAGCTGGTTTTATAGTGCTAGCCCACTGAGATACCATGCCGCAGTGAAGCATGAATACCCCACTCAGACACATTATACTGACTCCGAGCCGACCAGTCCTTGTTGTACCCATTAATGCCGAGCGCCAGGCAGGGACCATCAAGTACCATATTTTAACGTCTTTTGGTATGACGTGGTCGGGGATCGAACCCGCGACCTTCCGCTCTCCGGGCGGACGCTCTAACCACTACACCACGGAGGCGGTCGGCCTCTTAGTAAGTGTTTAGTTTGTAATAATATTTGTTATCATTTTGATTACAAAAGAGATAATTAATCTGACTAAGATAGTAAAATTCCACTGGGTCTCTGAAAAGTGATGATTCTGAACAATATGTTCTTGTTGTGTTCCTAGTTTGACTTAAGTCAAAGCTTGCATACTTGATGTCATTGAGAGAACATTCATGTCAGTTGTACACTGCCAGAAGAGTTGGCTCAGGAATGACGTACATGTTTGGTTAGCTCCTTATTTATGAAGCTTTACCCTAACCTAAATGTATCTTGACATTACATACTTTTAGATACCTTGAATTAAGATACGTTTTTTATTGTATGGAAAATGTTTCAGTCACAAATAAACTTATTGTTGTTAGCAACCTATGTATTGGTGTTTGTTTATCCAGTTAAAAAAAAGATCACGCTGAAGACCCGGGTTCGATTTCTCACATGGGTACAATGCGTGAAGCCCATTTCTGGTGTCCCCTAACATGATGTTGCTTGAACATTGCTTAAAAGCCATGTAACACCATAATCAATCAGAGGATCAGAACCCTGTGACTGTCACAAATGTAGGTCCAGCATTAATGTATTTCCTTCTTTGTGAGCACTATGTTGGTTTCACCAAGGTCACACCTGGAAAACCTTTGACTCATGTAATCCAACATTTAAC